CAAACAAAGTTTGTAAAAAACAAAGAAAATTATTTACAGTTGGATTAAATGAATCAATTTTTCCTGAATCACAAAATTGCAACCATCGTTTGATATAACTCCAGTATTATCTTTGAGAAGATTTCCTCCAGGAGTTGAAAATGACCACAGCAAGCTCTTCCGATATTCCTCTGTCCTGAAGAAGTTTCCGGACAACGGAAAACATCCCATCTTCAGCTTTGGAATCCTGTGTTGTCTGTTCGGATCTGTTGGCATTGTAAGGATGTTTTTGTTGTTCAGAAGGTAAGGTTGCAGATAAATCATTTTCAGAAGTGCTGGAAACCACGCTTGTGTGGGCCACAGTGGTGCTATTACTACTGCATTTGTTTTGTCCTGCTGAATTTTCTGCAATACTTTCCCCAGCATACTGAAAGGAGGAAAAATATAAAATTTGTCATTTTTCCAAGGAAAAGAAAATGCATCAACACCAATAGCTTCGGGGTCTGGGAGAAAAGACACATATCTATCAAGTTGATGATTTAATCTGGATGCAAACAAGTCAATTCCATTTTTTAAGTTAAATATTTGACATATACTGTCAAAAACAGTCTCGTTCAGTTTCCACTCTAAATCATCATTGATAGTGCGTGACAGTCTATCTGCCTCTACATTGTCAATGCCAGGAATATGAGAGGCGCTTATCCAAATGTTTCTTGCTATACACCAAAACCAGATATCCCTAGCTAACAAATTGAGTTCAGGAATTCTGCCCCCCATGTTGTTTATATAATGCATAACCACCATGTTGTCCAATCTAACTTGTATATGTGTGTTTTCTGATGTGCTACAAAATGTCTTAATGCTCAGAAACACCGCTTTAAGTTCTAGATAGTTAATGTGATAAAGCTTTTCTTCATTTGACCAATTTCCACCAGTCTTCTTGCCAGACTTGATTTCACAACCTCCCCATCCTTTTTGAGAACTATCTGTTTCTAAAATAATGTCTACAGTAGGAATTAGGATGGCCTTTGAACTTGTGCAAATATTATCACACCACCATGAAATGTCCTTAATAGATTCAACGGTCAAAAGAATCTTTTTGTCAAAATCTCCTCTATTTTGTCGTAACATATTATCTTTGAAAATTTCAAGATTTCTGTATCGTAGAGGTGCATGTTGGACAGCTGGTGAAGCTGCAACCATTTTCCCAATAAGCTGCGCCAACTCTCTTATCTGGATTTCATGTTTGATAATTAATTTAGACCCTAGATCCTTTATATCTTTTGCTTTGTCTTGCAATAAAGAAACGATCATTTTCTTAGAATTTATGAGAAATCCTAAAAATGCTATTTCTTGCACAGGCTCAACAACAGATTTGGTAGGATGAATAGTAAATCCTAAATTGTCAAGTAATGTTGATGTACTTCCTATATTTTGAGCACAATGTTCAAAACTATCACCTAACAGTAAAATGTCATCTATATATGGTACACTTTCAAATCCTTGTTTTCTCAATGTACTAAAAACTGGTTTTAAAAGTTTTGTAAACACACGTGGGGCAGAAGATAATCCATTAGGTAAAGAAGTGTATTGAAAACACTGATTTCTCCATATGAATTTTAAGAATTTTCTGTCTGCGGAATATATTGGTACAGAATAGTAGGCATCTTTTAAGTCTACCGAGGCCAACCAACAATCTTGCTTTACTAAACACAAAGCACTTTTTATTGTTTCCATTTTGAAGTGGTGATATTCAACATCCTTGTTCAAATCTTGTAAATTTAGAATTAATCTAAAAGTTCCATCATGTTTTTTCCTAGTGAAAATGTTTGAAATGAAGTCATTTTCCATTCTTTCTGTCTTTTCAATCACTTTTTTGTCAAGGAGTTTTTGAATTTCTGTATCAATGACAATCATTTCTTCTGGAGAGAACCTTATTTGATGAGGAACCCTATCTTGCAAAGGAGACTGTATTAAGTCAAGTTGATATCCTAGTACAGTTTTAAGAATTTTCCTATCTGATGTTAACTCCTTCCATTTGTCAAAATAAGAACAAATTTTTCCACCATAGAAATTATCAGGTGTATTATGAAATTTTTCAAGAATGTTGCATTTTTCCTCACTATTAACTGTACTTACAGAATGGTCAAGATGAGCTATGTCTGTGATTGTTGGTTGAGTAGAATTGTCTACTTCTGTTGGGTTTGAGGTGGTCTCCTGCCCCTGCCTTTCCCTAAAAAAGACCCATTGTTGTTTTGGTCATATTTGTAGGAATGGGAGTAGGTGCCATGTGTCTGGGGTTTTCCACTAAATCTGTAGCCAGATCCATAAGATTTCTGATGGCTTCCCTGATTTTTTCCTGCAGATGACCCTTGAAAACTGTATCCTTGGAGTTTTTTGCTCACTTTCTTCGAGGTATCAATTTTCTTGATCTTTTCATCTACGTTGTCGCCGAAGAGGAATTCTGTGACCTTGTTCGAATCATTGCACAGAGGTTTATAACTCTGTTTCAATTCTGGCCGGATTAAATATCTCCGTTTGTGAGATAAATCTGTAAAAGCTAATTGCAACAGTTTTACTGTATCTTGTGCTAGTTCAAGGCATTCCTTCATATCTGTGACTTCCGATGTTTTTGATTTTCTTGCCGAAATCAATTTGTCTAAAAGTCTGCAAGCGGGGCTCAAAGCTTTTAACACAATTGTTTGGGATTTCTGGATTTTAAAATCTATTGACTGCGCCTTTTTCTTTAACGATGGCCATATTTCTTCATTGATACGGGGCACCGTCATGTTAGAGCAGTTTTCGGGTCTGTTGTGTTTTTCACACAAATTTTTTGCCTTGTCTTCAGATGGTCTTACTTGGAAATTTGTGTTGATAACTTTTGCTAACTCAGCACTTAGAGCTGGTCCTGTTTTGTCATCTTTTACCATAAACTCTTCTAATGATTCTAAGAAATCCTCTTCATCCTTGTCCTCGTCTTTATCCTTTTGCACTTTGGATATCAGGTCATCAAGAGTTTCTTCGTCATCATTGTCCGACGTTAGTTCATCAGGCTCATTTGCGACCTGAAAACACAATTATCCATGTAAACTACATCATATTATCTTGCAGTGTTAGATCTCTCAATAACAGAGTTTTTAACCTGATTTTATTTATAATATTGTTTTGAATATTGCCTTTCTATTTTAATTATGAAATTTTTTAGCTGCACAATTACTGCTGAAATTATTGTTTTATGTCAGAATGGTAATACGTGCCTTGCGTTTCTTAGAAACAGGCTGTTCTGTGGTATTAACCAATGGTCTTTGCCGCATGAGATGATTAAGTATACTTTGGTTTTGAAAAAACAGTTTTTTCCATTGCACATGATCATCATCATCGTCTTCGTCCATGGGCGCAGCCATATTTGTTTGGCGCAGAGCATTCTGGGTCTTCTGGGCGTCCATCAACATCGATGGCGGGAAAGCAGGCGAAGCTCCGCCCACTACACAATCACTCTGAACAGTTTGAACTGTTTCTTCTCTTGCAGCTTCAGGCACAACAATGGACAAGAATTGATTTCTGTCATTATGGGATTGAACTCCCGCAACCAAACTGTCGAAGACAGCATCGCTATTCAAACGATTAGGTTCATTGGCCAAGTTCGCCATTGTTTGTAAACAATGCACTCGTTAAGGGTCAAAGATTTTGACCCAAAACACAAGCAAACGAAGGTGAATGACACGAAGTGTCAAAATAAACAAAAACGTGTCAAAATAAACAAAAACTTCGTATTGCTATAGCTGAAAATACAGCAATATCAGTTCGATAAACACTATAAACAATCCAAAATTGACTGAAAATCCTTGTCGAAAATATAACGTGTCTTGTTTGGAATCGCGTTACACTAAGCACTGATTGGTTGAATGGAATCACGTGACCTAAGTCATCTCATATGATCCCTCAGTACTTTGATTTGATAGAATATCTACGACACCTTACGTCTAGCTGTATCGATGTCCGTTTTTGGTTTTCATATTTATAACGGAGTACTACATTTACCGCTTTTTGGCAGGTGATACTGCTGATTCAGTAAAAAATATGCAAATTTGTTTAAGTTTTTACATATCATTGAATTCATTTAAAAGAATATGTGCCTCAGAGTTTGAGGAGTTTCTGTGCACCGATAAAAAAGAAATCGCCAAAAAAAAAAAAAAAGAAGAAAGAAAAAGAAAATCCGGGACCGTCTGGAGCCGGGTGTCGGGAAGACTAGTTTTACCGCGTGCAAGATTGTTAAGTTTTTTTCGTTTGTCGTGTTTTTATTTACGTTTGTTCTGCAAAGATGATCGTTGGTTTTGCATTCATATATGTTCATTACGTACGTGGTCGTTGGTTTTGCTTTAATGTATATTTGTTCTGCGAAAAGGTCTGTTGATTATGCATTGTATATCATTTGTTAAGTTTTTATGGTCATTGAAATTAAAATATTTGTTTGTTTTCTCAATATGGTAATTTTTGCCCTTTTCGCTGCCCATAAAGTTCTATCATGGTCGATACAAATAAAATTTTTCATTTAGTGAAATGCTAACTGGCGTACTTATGACTGTTGTTTGAAAATCATTCACACACTTCATTATCTACGGATTTTACCGTTTTCCCCGATTATGACTAGGACCATATGACCGGTCGACAGGGTATGCTCACCCCATCCTGACACCTGATTCATCTCATTCTGATGTTTAAGATGTCCGTGACTGCTCTGCTCCTGATTTTTATCTTTTTGATTGGACAGTTGAACATGGAAATTGCACATTATATATCTCCATATTTCATCGAGTACTCTTCTTTATTTTCACCTATTTGAATACCGAGTAGCTAAAGTAATACCAATTTCGTAATTTCATATTTATTGAAATCAATATAAAAAACACACACACACAATATCAATTCCAACTGATATAAAGTTTACAATTCAGAGAGAAAATAACTGATTCCATGATAACTTTGCAGTCATCATGGAATTGCAACTTGATAAAGTTTTTCTTAATTCATACAATTATAATCACATGAGTATGTCATCGAAAAGTAAAGACCAAAATCGTATTATGGATGGATTTTAGTTAAATAAAATTAAATCTTCAACGATTTTTGTCGTTGATCTGAAATTAGACAATCATCGCTGTGGTTTAAGAAACATTCCCCTTGTCTTGGGGCGGGGTCGAAGGGTGAAAACTTCGTGGTTCACAGTCCTCTTCACCGTCATTGTCCTCGTCGTCACTACTTCTATTAGAGTTCTTTATCGATGACCTACATTCTGGACACTGCTGCGATTCGTCACCGGTATCGACGAAAAAACCAATGCTGTAGAAATGACCTGTTACGATATAGCAGACAACGACTCATTCAGTAGGTGGTTAGTTCACTGGTTTCTATAATAATTGTATTTAATAAAGAAGAAAGGTTACTTACTGCCAAAAGAATGACCAATAAACTTACCATTAGTACATTTGTACCACTGGCCTTGCTTTGTGCACGCCACATTTTTTAAACTGATTCTTCGTTTATCGTCAGAAATCCAGGAACAGGAAGTCGGCTCTTTTCTCCTAAGTTCATCGAACGCAGCCGTAGCCTTTATAACGTCTTCAGGTTCAAAGGTACTCCTAGCTGGGCATCTCAGTCTGGTTATATGGAACTCAAGAAGTTCCTTGTCACTCTCAGTAATGTTAGTCATGTCATTATTTTTTTCCAATTCACATTTCATTATAACCAAATCTAAATATAACAAGTATCTCTCCACCTCATTTGCGAATTGCTTAAGTTCATGATCTGTAAAAACTATGTCAGTGTGTTTACCAATCCACTTTACCATACTTAGATATGTTCCCTTCATTTCAGGAAGAAGTTCTCTATGCGCTCTTTTAAGCTCTTTGACTCTTGGTCTTATTTTCAATATAAGATACCTGAGTAATTTTCTGACAAAAATATTTTCACAGTTTTGGGGCATCCGTTTCTCAATGCATTTTCTAAGATGGCTCGGAATAAGTCTTTTCCTCTCTTGAATTGATTGATTGATCCAAAAGCTATTGTAGAACAAATTGGCTTTTTCTTCTTCAATTTCTCGTTTTACTTCTTCAATGTCACGAAATATTTGTTTGTTGACATTTCTGTACCTATTGCTTCTCTTAATAGGAGTGAAACATTTCGGACACATTTTCAAAACAACTTGTCTATCGTTATTAGGCTCATCAGTATACTCAGACTGCATATGTTTATCCATGGTTTCCAGCTCAAATATGTGTCCACAGTCTACGAGCTCGATGAAAAGGGTTTCATCGTTTCTTTTCGCTTCAGGAAACATTTTTTGTAGTTGATCCTTGTTGCATCTTTTGCAGAAGCTTGGGCATATCTCACCACACACTCCGGCGCACCTGTGTCGAAAATTGCAATCTTTTAAAGTCCTTTTGCAACGGTTGTTGCAGGGAGGCCTTTCACAGTCTTCAAAGCACTGTTTAGAACATATGAATGAGTTTTTACATTTCCTATCGCAATTCCAATTGCATGGCTCCATGCAAGGTTCACAGATTTTACCACACAAACGAGGACATCCTTCCCTATGTTTACATAATCTTTCGCATTTTTTGTAACAAGGTGGACACATACTCGAACAAAGATGACCTGTATTACAATTATGCCCACATATAAGATCTCGCGAGCATACTTGTTTACAAGGTATATGTAATCTTCCATTTGAACAACTGTGGCAGGTACCCTTACATAAATGATCACAAGGAAGCGTTTCCCTACATTCCTTCTGACAGAGAAAACTCTCCTTTGCAGAACATTTTATCAATGATTCATGACCGCAGGCTGGGTGTGTAACTTGCACCAAATCTTGACATGGATGTTGATTACAGATTTGACTGCATCTCAATGTACAGGGATGACCACAATCACGCTGTCTCGTGCATTTTGCCGGACAAGGATGATCGCTTAGATCCTCTGAGCAAGGAACACGTACTTCATGTTCGCAAGTAGAATACTTCTTTTTTACTTTTTCCATGCATGGCCCGCATTCTTTAAAGCATTTTCTCTGGCACAGATGCCCATGGTCACACCATTTTCTTAAACACGCCTTTTGACATGGGAGGTCATGGATTGAGTCATCTGCATGACACTTTCTTTCACACACATGTCCACATTGAAGAAGAGTAGCGCAAGGTTCATCACACCCGCCGTCTTTCACATTCTCAAAATCATCTGGAGATGAAATGCTGGTGATCTTTTGGGGGTGATTGTTACAAACTAATGATAAGCTTTTCCCGAGCACATCTTTTTCTGTTGCCTTTGAGATTATTTTCATCCACAGATCATTACTGCGTTTATACAACATTTGAAAGTTTCCAAAAGCATAAAATCCTTCCTTAGCTCTTGAAAGCGAAACACAGATTCTTTGTGGGTCTCCTAGATGACCTAATTTGCAATCCTCATTGCTACGAACAAGCGATAACAAAATTATTTTATTCTCCTCTCCTTGGAAGTTATCAACAGCAGTGATATGCACTCTTTGGTCTGTGATCTTCCTTCCTAGCACTAATTGTTGTGAAATTTCAGAGACTCTTGTTCTTATCTTTCTTACTTGATCATTATAGGCTGATAAAATTGTTATATCGGAGTTTGAATAACCCTGCAAAATAAGATATTTGTACAAGTTGGCTATCATTTCAACTTCAAAGTCATTTGTGTAACTTGTAGAATAGTTTGATTGGCTTTCTGGATTTTGATGATCAAAGAAAAATATGTTATGTTTCATCCCTTTAACATTCTGGTATTCTAGAACAGTCGAATGGTCTTGAAGAGATGGATAAATTGTAGGGGTCAACATGCAAGATATTTCTGGCCTCATCCGATGTTGTTCTGTCAAGCATTGGAAAGGAAATCCATTCATGACGAGTCGTTCCATCAGAGAAACATCTGTTTTATATTGACATCTAAGATCATAGTTGTTCATTGTTGGACGAAGTTGTTGGTGGTCACCGATCAGAATCAAATGCTGTAGATCTTTCGTTAAGCAGCCGAGAATGTGCTGCTCGTGAACTTGAGCCGCTTCTTCCACTACAACAATCCGTGGTCGAATCTCTCTCAGAAGTTCCATATTTGACGCTGCGCCAGTCGTGGTCATTCCTATCATTTGGCAGGAGGTCAGAATAGAAAGATCACGTCTAAAGCGTTCCTGGTGATCATCTTGACTTTTCCTGCTAAAATGAGAAATTAAATTCGCCCTTTGATTTTGAAATTTTATTGTTAAACCGTGAATCCAAAACCTATAAAGTTTCCAGCGTTCGCTAAGACTTAGCCTCCATACGTTACGAATGCGGTTTACATTATGAATTGGCATAGTATCCTGGTGGCGTAGATTTTGTTGAACATATGACAACATTTTTCTGCGTTGTTCATAAGGCACTTGGTTCCAAAAATCCTGATAAATGCAAACATTTCGGAAGATCTTGTAGAAAGTGTCAGTGTAAAATATTATTCCATTTGTTTTCACATTGTTTGGAATAAGATGTTCATCTGCAAAGACAAAAGAAGGACGAATGGCGTGTAATATTTCTTTCTCAAAATCATCATCATCATCACCAAGAATCCTTTTTTGATTTTCTTGCAAAAATAAGTCATCTATTTCTGTTCCAGTTTCACTTTGCGCATTGCTCACGTGGAAACGGGAGTACATCGCTGCATCAGGTATGCGTAGCCAAGCAATAATAATAGCTTCTTTACATGGAACAGACTTCTCATGAAATCTAAAATTTCTTTCTAGTGACCAAACATGTTGAGGGGATATTATGTTTTCAGTCTCCAAACACTTCGTTGATACTATACTTTTCTGTAAATAGGAAAGAAACGTATCAATGTACTTGACACATTTAGTAGAATTTTGTACATGCCGTCTGTTTTTACTCCAGTATCGCTCTTGTTTTCTGTGTTCTTTCAGCATAAACTTTTGAACTCGTTCGTTTACACATCTACCGCCTACTCTTACAAATGGCCGCTCCTTCCTTATAAACAGAAAACGGAGGTTCTCTGAATTAAGTAATTTCTCAAAAAACTGATCAAGTGCATGATTAGTGTGACTGAGAAGCAATATAGGTCGACTGTCGCTTTTTTCAAATTTCCTTTTGTTGCAAAGTAAGAATTCCATTATTCGCAATCCCATCCAGGTTTTCCCCGTCCCAGGCGGCCCTTGAAGTATACCAATTCTCTTTGTCAGACATTTTTTGAGCGCCTCATATTGATCTTTGTTGAATCCTAATACCTCTGCTGTTGGCCATTTATCAACATTAAGAATAGGAACCTTCTTATACATCGTTTTTGATATTTGCTCTCCATTTTGCAATAGACATCCAAAGTCTGCTAGTCTCACGTCAAAATTTTTTTTGCGTGTGTAAAGAGGTTCCAAAACGTCCTGTTTTAAATAAACCAAATACTTTGCAAACGGTATGTTTTCATTTTTCTCTAGCATTGCAGATGCAAGAGTCTTCAGAGACTTCAATGTGTGATCGTAAACCATATAGAAGGATTTACTTTCTATCATAACGAGACGACATTCTTGGACATTTCGTAGATCGTCAATCGCGTCCTCGTTTAAAATTTTCAGCAACACTCTGCCTTCTGTTAGTTGTTTTAGATCACGATTTGCAATTAATGCGTACACTAAATGTGAACAATCATCATAGGTTAAACAAACGACATTGCCGTATTGCAAGAAATTGCAACTCTCCCAACGAATCTTCTTATACATCTCCTTGTCAAACTGCACCTCTAGACCAACACCTGCTCCGGGAACACATTTGTTATCAAGGAGACGTATTCTTTTGTAGACGCGTACGTTATCGTCTTTGAACCTTCCCTGTTTTTCTTTCGAGTTGACATATTCCATATAATTCCGGATCCCCCGGCGCAGGGGACCGATAAAATCTTCTAAAAACAGGCTGAACTGGTCTATCAGATAATGGGCGGGACTTTTGTAAGGCAATTTTAAGTCGCGGGGTAATATCGGGAGTGATTCATTCTGGCGAATCATCTGTGCTGATGGTAAAATTGGCCAATTAACTAATTTTTGCAGCTCGTCTTTTATTTCTTTAGAAAGAATAAGCGGGGTATCACCATCTTCTTTGAGCTTTTCTAGTTTTTCTCTAACGTTCAGTGTATTAATAACTTCTCGTATCTGGTCCTTGACCATAGTGTCATCACTGATACATTTTATTTGAGAGAGCAGTCCTAGTATGGTTTTTGTGTACTTTGTTTTGATATCTTTTTGTTTTGTAATTAAAAGTACAAGTTTTACTATATTTTCGAGCCATTCTTCTGAATCACAACATTCTGACGTCAATTTTTCAGTAAGTAGACTCAACACATCATGTCTACGGAAAAAGTCCTTATCTTTTAAAAGTGAGCAAATGCTGTTTGGATCACTGCCTAGAGCGGTTGTCAGCATGCATACAATATGTTTGATGTCAGGTTCTTCCAATGTTGGTACATCAAGCATTTTTTCTACATTTTCCAATTCCACTGGCAACTTTTCTTCCCCTTCCGGTTCGCCGCTTATATCCATGGAATTCACGGGACCGATCTCGTCATCACTTCCGTTTTGAGTTTCTTCAGATACGTACTGTGCATAACCTCGAAAATCAAATGGACTTCTCACTCGCCGTCGTTTTGGTTCAAATGGTCTACGATCTAACGATCGTCTTCTTTTTCGACGTCCCATGTTTTAGTTTATAAATATATTTCCTTTTTCTGTAGAAAATAAAATTTCATTTGTGAGCATTATATGAATTGATTGCAATGCAAATGATTAAATACATGGCGGTTATGGCCAGTGGATAGGGGATACTCACTCCTCTATGGAACCAGACCCCTATTTTTTATAGAGGTCCTTGTTTGCTCTTCTCCCAATTTTGATTTTTAAATTTTTAGCTCACCTGAGCCGAAGGCTCAAGTGAGCTTTTCTGATCTCTTTTTGTCCGTCGTCCGTCTGTCCATCCGTCTGTAAACTTTTCACATTTTCGACTTCTTATCAAGAACCACTGGGCCAATTTTGATCAAACTTGGTACAAAACATCCTTTGGTGAAGGGAAATTTAAATTGTAAAAATGAAGGGACATATCCCCTCGCAAGGGGAGATAATCAAGAAAAGACAAAAATAGGAAGGGGTCATTAAAAAATCTTCTTCTCAAGAACCACTGGGCCAGAAAAGCTGAAACTTATGTGGAAGCATCCTGGGGTAGTGTAGATTCTAAATTCTTCAAATCATGACCCCCGGGGGTTGGGCGGGGCTACAATGTGGAATCAAAGTTGTACATAGAAATATAAAGGAAAAATCTTTGAATATCTTCTTCTCAAGAACCACTGGGTCAGTAAAGCTGAAACTTATTTGGAATCATTCTAGGGTCGTGTAGATTCTAAATTGTTCAAAGATGACCCCCTGGGGGTAGGGCGGGCCACGATGGGGAATCAATGCTTTACATGGAAATATATAGGGAAAATCTTTGAAAATTTTCTTTTCAAGAACCACTGGGCCAGAAAAGCTGAAACTTTTATGGAAGCATCCTGGGGTAGTGTAGATTCTAAGTTGTTCAAATCAAGACCCCCGTGAGTAGGGCGGGGCCACAATGGGGAATCAAAGTTTTACAAAGAAATATATAGAAAAAAATCTTAGAAAATCTTCTTCTCAAGAACCACTGGGTCAGAAAAGCTGAAACTTATGTGGAAGCATCCTAGGGTAGTGTAGATTCTAAATTGTTCAAATCATGACCCCCGGGGATAGGGTGGGGCCACGATGTGGAATCAAATTTTTACATAGAAATATATCTGAAAAAAAAAATCTGAAAATCTAAGCTGAAACTTATGTGGAAGCATACTGGGGTAGCGTAGATTTCAAATTGTTTAAATTATGATCAGTGGGGTAGGGTGGGGTCACAATATGTATTACAAGGTGGAAATCTGGTAAAGAACAGAATGGCCAAAGCTTCTCAGGTGAGCGATGTGGCCCATGGGCCTCTTGTTTAGATTTGAGATTAAATTATCAAAAGAATGAGTGCACTTTAGTACGTATTTTGGAACCTTTACAGCTATCCATTTTAAGCTTTAAATCACAATATATCGCTAAATTAATGTATTTTTATTGTGCATACATATGCTTTTGATAATTATCCCTTGAATATTTTATCAAACAAATTATTATAATTATAGATATGCTATTGATAATAATATGTATGAGCCTTAAATTCCGTTTTAACTTGATCACTGTTCGTAATTTTTCAGAATTTATTTACTTCCCCTCATGAATAATATTCATATAATGCGACTACGTATGCTGAGAACTAAATTACCATGGAGTGTTTTCCCTCCTGCTCGAGTATACATTATGTACATACTCTAAAACCATAACGCTACAGTTCTGTAGCTTACATCGCCCTACCATTAGTGTTCCGAGATACAACGATATGTAATTATAAAACTGAGATATTAAATTTAAAATTAAGAACAAGAAAACAACTAGGAAGTTTAATTAACTTTAGTAAGAAAACATGTCTCTTTAATATCTTCCACGAAACTATTACATGTAAAGTTTATAACTAATACTATACTTTTTATTTTATCAGGCGAAAAGAAACACACATACATGTTTATAATTTTACCAGAAGTCATCTATTCATCCTGGAAATAAGACATTTTCCTAACTGTTTTATTTATTCTACGTTAAATGTTGACCAACTTTCATGAATTTATCTTTGTCCTTTATAGAGTAAAAGTTAATGTCTCAATAACTTCCAAACAGCTCTCGTATATGGGTACAACATGTACAGGCCTAAATATATGAGTAAATATTGAGAAAAAGAAATGTATGAAAAAGAAACTTATTGTAATTTTTGTCTAAAATTAAATTATGCTTAAGAATATTATGACAATATATATAAATGTGATAACAAAAGAGTTCTACGAAATTGAAACACGTTTTTAAAAAACTTTACTCAGCAGCGATTGATTTTAAAATTGGGTGCAGGTTATTCAACTGCACTATTAAAGCGTATCGTCAGTAGAAAAGATATTGATAATGAACTTAGTCATACCTATAAATAAATCATTCACGTGCATTAAATATACCCTTTAAATCTAGGTATATTATTCAGGGAAAGATTTTTCAATAATGGTTCAAATAAACAACTGATTACCATTGCAGCTTTTCAAAGCAAATCACTTTTCTTTTGTAAAATTTTGTTATTTTTTAATCTTTCTTTTCTTTAGAGACAAGTATGCCAAATATTCAATATCAAAAATACTAGTCTGCTGTCAAATTCAGAGCAGGGCTTTTTAAAAATAATTAAGGTGTATTGATTACTTACATAAATATTCTCTGAATCAATAGAGAAAGTATATAGCAGAAACTAGTACAATGTTAACATGATTTGGACCTTCAAAACCTGATTCTGAATGTTATATACTTCCAAGGGCAATATTGTCCCCAAAAGAAGGTAAGATTTTTTGTTTTAGTTTTTTTAAACATTGTTTAATAATTAATGTCATGAAAAGGTTATAAGGCTAAATCACGGACACTTCATGCATTTGTTGGCAAAACAACTTGTTTATATATCTTACTTCAAAAACGCAACATAAACTGATCCCTCCAAATTCCAATACAAGAAATAAAATATAAATAAATTCAAATACTAGTTAGTTACGTTCTAATGTTCGCAAAGGTTGCAAACTGAAAAAAAATGCATGGTATGTACATGCAATTTGTAAAGGTTTTTTTTAAAAAAAAAAAAATTTCTCCGGATTTTACTTCATTTTAATTTAAACTTCATATTTTTACTTTATTTTCATCTTTTATTTTCACAATGCACTTCCAATTGTCCAAATCATGACAATTTAGTTTTTTTTTTAATAAAATTTTCCAATGTCTACAGTACCCTGATCATAGGAGTAGATTAAGACTACTGTGCGTATCTATGCAACTATAAAATAGACATTATAAATAGATACTCAAATTCCATATACTTTAGATTTTAATGAAAGAATTCAATTGTTTAAATTTTTTAAACAGCTTTGATTATCAGGCTGATTTAGACTATAGAGCTTAAACTTGGAGTTCGAGAAATTCAACGAAATCCATAATAGCACGCCTTGTTTTTTTTTTCTCTGAAGAATAGACGTTTTATTTTCAACATTCTTAAAAAGAAATTTGATACTAGTAAGCCATTAGGAATGTCCAAATTTTCATTGGAATACAAATGCTAGGATTTATTACAAAAACTGACCTATATAGCAAAAGAGCAATGTCCCGAATAATGTATATTACTAGTTTTCTTTAAATATAAAATGTTAACGATATAAACTTCCTGGTTTTGATCCATTTACAATTAGATTAAAAGAAACGCACCGTTTGTTGCAGGATGAATTATATGGAGATAAAACACAGTATTTAATACAAAAGTCTATAGAACAATACAAAAAAAAGGAGCAGAGCAAACACAGACATTTACAGGATTCTAAAACATTAAGATATTAGGATTATCATTCACTTCAATGCAATTTTTCGATGAGAAAACATGTACGAGGGTTGATCCAAAAGTTCGTGGAATTTCTTTCAAAAATTTTATCGTGATTTGTTAAAAGCAAACAACAGACATATTCATAATTTAGTGTCATAATGCAAGAAGAATGATATGGACATAACGATCAGTATTCACAATACAAAATAAGAGCAGAGCAAGCACGGATCCCCGAAACATCAGAGGTGGGATCAGGTGCTATGGAGGAGTGAGCATCCCTGCCGACAAGGTCACACCAGCCGTGTGCTCTTTGTCATGATCAGGAAAAAAATGAAAAAAATCCGTCGTCAATTCAGTGTATAAATAATGGATTAACAATTGGTATGAAAAACGTCAGTCAGCATTTGACTCAATGATAAATTGTATTTGCTGACAAGGTCATTGTATCGACCATAGAAATTACATATGATGACTTTAAACGAGACTGCTGATATTCTTGTTTCATCAACTTGCTTGTCAATAATTTACCTCGTTTTAGGAAATGTTAATTCAGATTAGGAATTCAGAATTAAAATGAAAATAGACGCGTTAATGTCTCCAAACAACCGTTTCTATGGCAACTGCCATAGAGTTACTATTAAATATATTTAAACTCTTTTTTAAATTTTAAATATTCATGAAGTGTCTATATTTTCATTTGTAATTTTCAACCAATTCCACTGAAAATAAATTAAATATGAAAAAATTCCACGAACTCCAGGAAACGTAAGAAAATGAACTTACCGTATTTTTTGTCCAGAATTAAATTTAAATGCTTAGATGTTTAAGAATATATATAACATGACAACAAAAGAGTTCTACGAAATGAAATCGAAACACGTTTTTTAAAAACCTTACTCAGCAACAATTGATTTTAAAATTGAGTGCAGTTTATTCAACTGCACTAAAGCATATCGTCAGTAGAAAAGATATTGATAATGAACCTAGTCATACCTATAAATAAATCATTCACGTGCATTAGATATACCATTTGAATCTATGTATACTATAAAAGGTAAGCATAAAATAAAGTTTAAAAAACTGATATATTCATTATAGATAATCCTACTCTTCCGTAAAATCCAGAACATGGTTTTTTAAAAACAAGGTGGATTGCGTAAATACATTTATTTTCCCCGAATCAATTAAGAAAGTAGAACATATGCTAGTATACATGATTTGGACCGGTCTACGTAATCTGATTTTGAATGTTACATACTTTTAGGGGCATCTTTTTCCTAAAGAAGGTAAGAATTTATTAGTTTTTTATTATTAATGACATGAAAAGGTTCTACAGCTAAATCACAGAAACTTTGTGCATTTGTTTGTGAAACAACTTTTTGAATAGCTTACCTTAAAAAAGGCAACATAAACTGATATAGAAAGAAATGAAAAAAAAAAGAAAATGTAAATGTAAAAAAAGTAATGATCTACATTCGCTAGATCTAGAGGTTGCAAAAATGCATGGTATGTACTTTGTCAAGATTTTAAAATATTTCCATAATTTCCCTAATTATAATTAAAACATCATATTTTTACTTTTTTATTTCCATAATGAACTTCCAATTGTTCAAATCATGACAATTATAAGTTTAAGTTTTCCAATGTCCACAATACCCTGATAATAGGAGTAGATATCTATATCACAGACAGTATAAATTTATACAATCACAACTTCTCGGGCCTTTCCGACTAGCGGAAAAACGACCTCGAATGTATATGGTAGCCGCCATGACAACCCTCCTTTTTCACGAAATAAATGCATAGAGACCTGTTATCTGTGGAATATGGAGTTTAACTTTATTCAATGAAGGATATGGAGATAACAAACAGTATTCAATCTCAAAGTCCATTAAACAATATACAAAATCAGAGCAGAGCAAACACGGACCCCTGAAACATCAGAGATGGGATCGGGTGCCATGGAGGAGTGAGCATCCCCTGCCGACCGGTCACACCGGCGTGTGCTCGTTGTCATGATCAGGAAAAAACGGAAAAATCCGTCGTCAAATAGTGTATAAATAATGGACTAATAATTGGTATAAAAAACGTCAGTCAGCATTTGACTCAGTGTTAAATTGTATTTGCTGACAAGGTCATTATATCGACCATAGAACTTACGAACTAATGCCTTTAAACGAGACTGCTGAATGTTATGAAATTACTTAGAATATACTATATAAGGGACTTCTAAATCTGTCTATCCTATATTTGAATAAACAGGAAGATGTAAAAAAATTTTAACATCCGATGATGTTAATACATTCGAGGTTGTTTTTCCGACCTCTGACGGAAAAATCCGAGATGATGCGATTGAGTATAAATATATAGGGAAAGTCCATATATTTTTTTTAATGGAAGAATTGAATTGTTTATATGAATTAACAGCTTTTATTGTACGAGCAATTCAGTCTGTAAAGCTTAGATTTGGAGTTCGAGAAATTCAGCAATAGACGTTTTATTTTCAATATCCTTAATATTCCTTAAATTGAGAATGGAAGGGGTTATCTCTTTAAAAGAACTCGATAAGTAGTGTTCCAATTTTCACTGGAATAAAAATGCTAGGATTTATTACAAAAACTGGCTTATAGCCAAAAGAGCAATGTCCCGAATAATGTATATTACTAGTTTTTAACATTTTATATTTTATGCTTCCTGGTTCTGATCTATTTACACTTTAAAGAAACACACTATATTGTTGTGTTGCAGGATCCTGAAGTATAAGGTGAGATCATAACCGAGGATGATTATTCAGTCAAATGCAATTTCTCGGACAGAAAACTAGTAACCAGTTGACAAATTTTAAATTTGGATAGAAAGAAAATAAACATGGATTCCCGGAAGAGGAGGCAGGAACAAGATAATCGCCATACAAAGCGAATTCGATATGACCCTAACCCAGCAACGGAACGGAATGATAGTTTACGGCCATCTGAAATGTTGCAGGACAAGAAATATGAACGAAGTAGTGACTCAAGGCTTGCTTCTACGTCAAAGTCTAGTTATATGCCAACAAGAAAAAGCGCACAAAAAAGAAACACTATTTGGTCAAAAAGAGATAATGATTGTCCTTTCGATTTGAGAAAGAAACTTAAAGGTCATGCTAATCCACAAAGGTCTTCACACAGTTTAAGAAACTTGAACCACCCTTCGACGGATTCTTGGGAAATAGAAACCAATCAAGACTGTTCTACATCCAGAACCAAGGCAAGCGTTTCTACACATAGAGAAGAATCACCAAGGACAAATTCAAGCTACAGAAAGAACAGCCCAAGATATAGGGCAAAGAGCCCTATTTATAGACCAACCAGTCCTAGCTACAGATCAACAAGTCCCAGCTACAAGTCGACCAGTACTAGCTACAGACCAACCAGTCCTAGGTACAAGCCAACCAGTCCTAGCTACAGACCAACCAGTCCTTGCCGCCACAGACCAATCAATTCTAACCACAGACAAACCATTTCTAAAAACAGATCAACCAACCCTGGTCATAAACCAACCAGTTCTATTTACAAACCAACCAGTCCTATTATCAGACCAACCGGTTCTAGCTTCAAACCAAGTTCTATCCACAAACCAACCAGTCCTAGCTACAGACCTACCAGTCCAGACTTTAAACCAATCAATTCTAGCTATAAACAAATCAATCCTAGCTATAGACCAACCAGTCCTAGCTACAGACCAACCAGTCCTAGCTACAGACCAACCAGTCCTAGCTACAAACCAACCAGTCCTTGCTACAGACCACTGCGACCAACCAGTTCTACTTGTGAACCATTTAACCATAGTTTCAGATCAGACCACAATCAAACTACTTTAGGACACATCAAAAATCAATCCTTCAATTCCATTCCGAGGGCACACACTATACAAAAGGGTACACATTTATCACCAGAAAAACAAGAGACATACAAGCTCAGACAGATTTCTTAACAGCAATTCAAAACGAAAACAAACAATACACAAAGGTGACATGATGCAGCGTTTTAAAAGAATCCAAGACTTCGATGGATTTAATTTGAAATATCTTGATGATCTTAAGTTGTTATTGGCATCAGAAGAAAATTTCAGAGATGAAAATTTACAGTGTTTGATGAAAATGTTAGCCCATCTGTTCGAAGAACAAAACTCGGATGTGTGTGAAGCGTTGATGAAATTTGATTTCTTTGCACGAAAAGACCTTATGGCATTAATATCTGGTATTCTAGTTCGTTCTGAGCTGACAAATTCTGATGAAGAATTTATAAGACATTCCTATCAGGTACTGGTTGCTCTCTCCTTAGATACTACATTAAGGTCGAGTAAAGTGAAGGCGTTTTTGAATCTAATTCTTCATTTGGTTAGGCGTACAAATAACCAGGAAAGGGAGAAAACTTTATCAGAAATATCAACACGATTGGACATGAAGGAAAAAAGAGAAAATTTAGAAGTCGATGAAAAAGGAGAAATTGTATTCTCTGATTCAATGAAAAAAGAACTGTCTACCATGAGTCAATTCCAAATATTACCGACGAGTGCTATGATCCGAGACAAGGTTACCCCAAAACTGTTACAAAGGGAGTTAAAACGTGCATCAAAGTCCCAGGCGCACTACCTTATAGAACAATTCTATCTGTTTTTGCAGGATTTCATTGGTCCTCTAAGACAAGGAATAGAAGATTACATGGAACATGCTCTGAATCCCGACACAGAAAAGAGATTTCGCCACGAAAGTGTCAGGCTTTATGAAGGCATACATATTCTGGAGAGGAAATGTGTTCCTGATTCCGGCATGGTAATAGAGATACAGTTTGAGGCAAAAGGATTTAAACGAATTCAGTGGGATTTTTGCAATTTTCTACAGTATGGAAACGTTGTCTGTTTAACTCACGGTAATTGTGATACACTTTTGTATGCATTAATTGCAGAACGAAACACCCAAAACCTGAAAAGGGGGAAAATTTCTCTGAGTTTGATAGGACAGATATTCCAAGAGGTTGAAGAAATGAAGAATGTGGCAAACGGACGCATTGTGATGCTGGAGAGTAAAGCCTTTTATACTGCATACCGGCACACCTTGGAGTCCATGCAATCTATGGCTAGAAATATGGTGCTTTATCCCAAAGATGCAAGAATTCCTTTTGCAAAGCATATTATTGACCTCAAAACTGATGTACTCGAACCTCTCTATAGCAGAAGTGAAGACGGTGAGGTCAAACTTGTAAACTTTGAATGCCTATTGAAGCCTGAGGAGTGCATAATGGACAAGGATTACACAAGAGTACCGCTTCTTGATACAAGTATGTGGCCCTCAGCAGAGGAAGTAGGAATGGACGAACACCAGTACTCGGCGCTTAAACTCTGTCTTACAAAGAAACTTGGAATCTTACAGGGACCTCCTGGTACTGGAAAAACATGGATGGGTTTGAGAATTGCAGAATTTCTACTGAACAACAATCTTGGCCAGGAGGTGGGCGAAAAGAGACCCATATTGCTACTAAGTTATACCAATCATGCTCTTGATCAGTTCTTCAATGCATTATTTGATATGGATAGCCTCAGGAAACTTTTTTCAGGAACAACGCAACCCTTCGTCCGTGTGGGTTCACGAAGTAATGTTGAACGAATTCAGAACTGTACTTTGACAGAACACAGAAAGCAAATGAAAGGAAACAGATCAAGATTTCAATGGAAGAATGGCATGAGACTAAAACAGGAGATATTTGAAATAGAGTTGTGGTTAGAGAAAATAAAGGACAGCATTGTGTCTCCTGTATTTCTGTTTAGAAATGAATACATTTCCGAGAATCATAGTCGATCACTTCAGGACAAACGTTATCTCTGCAATGGAACTGATATTGTTGCTATCATTTTTCAGTGGCTAGAAATAGGTCCTCGTGGCAGGGAGATAAGAGATTTCTCCAATGAAGCAAATACCGCAGATATTCCGAAAAATGAGCTGTGGGAGATGGACGAAAACGATGAAGACCTTTTTATGTCTCATTTAGTAAGAAGGATTGTAGAAGATGCGGATGATTTGCGATTTGATCAAAAAGAGTGTCTTCAGAATGTTTTGTCAAACCTTCTTGTGACTAAAGAATTATTAATTCCTAAAAAGAAATCAACTCAACTGCACCCTTTCTGGCAATCTCTCGAACTTCGAGAGAGGGAACAGATATTGAGTTACATTTCCTTAAGATTGCGGTTGGATGTTGCCATGAACTTGTATGAAGCTCAAGAAGTTGCAAACGTTTGGTGTATAACCATTGAGGATAGATGGCGATTATACAAGTTTTGGGTACAGCAATTTAAAGATTATCTTCTAAATAAAAGGAACGTACTTATGCTAGATTTCGAGATGGAAAATAGCAAGTATTTAAAAGAGAAAACGGCTGAAAATATCAAAATAGTGTCGAGTTGTCATCTTGTTGGTATGACTACAACAGGAGCTGCACAAAATATTGACCTCTTGAAGAAGGTTCAACCAAAAATTATGATTGTTGAGGAAGCCGCTCAAGTTTTTGAACAGCACATACTAGGATGTCTTACAAAAGATTTACAGCACTTGATACTTATTGGTGATCATCAACAGCTTCGACCTTCAATTAACAATTACCAATTATCAAAAACTCACAAAACAGATGTTTCGTTAATGGAACGACTTGTAATGAATAAAATGCCGTATGTGTGTCTTTCACAGCAACACCGAATGCGCCCTGAAATATCTTCAATGCTTACTCCCACGATTTACAAGAACTTGCAGGATCATTCAAGTGTGTTATCATATGATCATGTTCAAGGTATGAAACACGACATTTTCTTTCTTAATCATAAAAATCAGGAGAGCCAATCGGAATACTCAACCAGTCATAAAAATGAATTCGAGGCAGAAATGGTTGCAAGATTGTGTCGCTATTTATTGTTACAAGGATATAACAAAACCGATGTGACCATCCTAGCGACATACAACGATCAAGTAAAGTTAATCAGGAATTATGTAAAGAATTTGGAAAATGATTTACCAAACTCTAGACTTGATATTAAAGAAAAGATTGCAGTTACGGCCGTAGATAATTTCCAAGGAGAAGAAAACAAAATTATTATATTATCTTTAGTAAGAGGAAACGACGAAAGAAAAATAGGTCATCTGCATGATATCAAAAGAATATGTGTTTCACTTTCAAGAGCAAAACAGGGTTTTTTTGTTATTGGAAACTTTCAAACCATTCGAAAAAGTAGGACCTGGAGTGAAATTATTTTAAAAGCAGAAGCAGATAATATCTTTGGAAGTTATATTCCCTTGAACTGTTTTAATCATCCCCAGACTATAACAAAAGTATCCAAACCATCAGATTTTGATATGGTGCCAGTGGGAGGATGTAACGAGCCGTGTGGGTACCAGCTGAACTGTGGGCATGCCTGCGACTTGAAATGTCACGCGGATCCATCATACCATGATATGCCATGCAGGAAAATTTGCGAAAAGGAAATGTGTGATAAAGGGCATAGATGCAAAAGAGTTTGTTCGCATCCTTGGTCGTGTGGACCATGTGGAACTCTAGTAACCAAGGTATACACGGAATGTAATCACAAAGTACAAGTAAAGTGTTCTATAGACTTAGAAACCTACCCCTGCCGAGAGAAATGTAGCAAAACAAATCCCTGTGGTCATATTTGTCAACTAAATTGCGGTTGCAAATGCCAGCCAGATCAATGTTCAGTTCTAGTGCCAGTTGTTCACCCGAGATGTGGGCATGAAATAGAGGCTCCATGCTGTATACGTTCCAAACCAAAGAAAATAAAATGCAAGCAGAAATGTCAGACGATTCTGCCCTGTGGCCATGCATGCAAGGGGGACTGTTTCTCCTGTTCTAGTGGGAGGCTTCATGTGGTATGTGAGCAATTATGCCAGCGTGTCCTCGTGTGTGGCCATTCTTGTAACAATAAGCATTCATGCTCTACAGCTTGTCCACCTTGTAATAAACCCTGCATGTCCGGTTGTAATCATTTGGGAAAACGTGGTTGTCGTCGAAAATGTGGCGAAACATGTATTGATTGCAGGGAGCAATGTGATTGGAAATGCGATGAAAATTGCGAAAACCAATATCGTTGCCAAAAGCAATGTTTTGAAAAATGCGATAGACCACGTTGTAACAGAAGATGTAACCGAGATTTGCGATGTAAGCATCGTTGTGTAGGTTTATGCGGTGAGCCCTGTCCTAGGCTGTGCAGAAGATGTAACAAAGAGGAATTAACAACAATTTTCTTTGGGGAAGAGGACGATCCTAAAGCATTGTTTATCGAACTAGAAGACTGCAAACACGTCTTTGAAGTGAACGGCTTTGACAAGTTCATGGAAATGGAGGTGGAAAGAAATGATGAATCGGTTTCAGAAAGCCATGCAATAAAACTTCTGCGATGTCCTTTATGCCAGACACCAATACGACGCAGTAAAAGATACAAAAACATTATAATACAAAATTTAAAGGATATGAATGCCGTGAAAACAATTGAAAAAGAGAAAGTATGTACCTTGAACGCCAAAGAGACTTTTGAGGAACTCTCTAAATTTAACGAAGCTTATGAAATTTTGAGATTTAAATTAAATTTAACCAAACAGTATTACGACTTTGAATTCTCAAACAAACAAGCTGAAAAATTGTTTACTTTCTTAGTTCCAAAATATAAAGAAAGGTTTGATAAAATGATGGGAAAATCCTCAGAAGAAACTACTGAAATCGTAGACCAATTTCAAATGCTTACTGAATGGCTTTTGCGACACAGACGTACGATGTTTACCGAATACGAGGTCAAGCAATTCAGTGAAGAAGTAGACAGATTCTTTCTATATGTAGACTATGCTTTGCTCGTTCAACAAGTGGATTCAAATAATCCATCCCAAGTGACCGAAGAAGACAGAAACACACTTAATGAGCAAGTAGTTAACCTAAGATGGCCAATCCCTAAGCAACTGGAAATAGAGGATATATTACATTCCAAAGAGATCCTAACGACCATGCAAGAAAAGCTACCACTTACTGGTCTAGGAATATCAGATAAGGAGAAGGCAATGATTTTGAAGGCGTTTAACTTTTCCAAGAAAGGACACTGGTACAAGTGCAAAAATGGTAAGAATTTTTCTTTTATGCAGTAAGAAATGAAAAAGATCAAAGACTGCAACGTTTCACATGACAGTTTTGACAATATTTAATCCCAACTTTTCAGTCTTGTAAGACCACATTTTCTTAATATATTTGAATCATAAATCAGCCAAAGAAACAGTTCGCCGTTTAATATGAAAAGTGTTCTAGGTTTCATTAATATTTTTTGTTATTGAATGTTTTATTTGATTTTCACAGGTCATATTTACGCTATAGGGGACTGTGGCGGAGCGATGGTGGAGTCTAAATGTCCAGAATGCGATGAAACGATTGGTGGGTCTCGACATCAGTTGCGGGGAGACAACGAGGTTGCTGGAGAAATGGACGGCGCAGCCTTTTCAGCCTGGTCTGAACAAGCTAACATGGCCAATTACGAAATTGATGATAGATTTTGACACTTTCTATTACTAAAAAACTTCGGCACTATTACATGCGATTGAGACAATATGATCAATATTGTTTTTAGTTTAAAGGATTTACTCCTTGGGGTCAATTTTAAATCGATTTTTTTAACGACACAGAATGAAAGAAAATTTTGTTGCATTTTTGCTTGAATATTTTTTTCTCAATTGAAAATCAGTCACATTGTTTTGTACATTGTTTTGTTGAGGATCAGCAAATGTAAAACGTGAGAAAAATCAGTGATTTAATGCTTTTCTGTCATGTTAGACGTGATTTCTCTGTTAGAATTACATTTGTATCAGTTTCATCCATTTTGTATCATTTAGAATATTTTAATTTAACCATGACATAAGTGAGATTTTTAATCAATGCCATGACAAGTACTCATTAGTATTTTTTGAAAGATGTTTGCTGTTAAATTGTATTTCAATCGATCTGGCATTTAGTAAATCAAGGTTTTTAGTGTTAAACTGTATATTATGCTTTTATAAATATGTCATGTTGTAAATTTTGTATTTACTGCCACCCGGTAAATTCAAAATTTACAATATGACAAATACACAACTTTGTCCTGCTATGAACCTTTCAACGTAAACGAGAAAACAACATATAAGCTTACGTCCACACTCAAAAGTACAACGTTTAGAAACTCACATTTCATTCATGCTTTGAAATGAATTCGTAGAGAAAAAGTTTTGTTGTTATCAAGATCGTTTTTTTTTTTATTTTGGAAAAATATTGAGAATTTCATTTCATTAATAAGTGTTATCAAAGCAATTAAGGCAATTAATCAATGACGAAATTTTTTTACCTTTACAATAACATTTACATGAACAAATGTATATTTTATTATTTTATTTAAATTACTTGCCATACATAGTAAATTTTTCGAGTTTACAGAGGATGTTTTATTTAATGTAATTACGTTTGCTGGTCATTCAAAATACTGTATGTAGTTCAAAATGGCATGTTCATTTTATTTCATTTTGTACTCCTGTTTGATTTATTCTGTCCAACTAAACAGATTCTGCGTATCTTTCATTTTCAATTATACATGTAGTTGCCTTGTTTTGTACAATCTTATAGTAACACATACATTTGTATTATCACATATGTTTAATTGTAAAATCTATTGTTTTAAGATATTTTTAAAATCAGTATATTTGATAAACATTTAAAAAAGACTAGAAGTATTCTCTCCTGGGAGCTTATGTCATTCTTGATTTTATCATTGTATATCCACTTCTGCATTTAGACAACAAAGAAAATAAATTGCAGAACTTGACTGGTTTCTCTCATCAATTATTTATCTTGCAATCTTGTTATTATTTAATTTATATTTTGCAACATGATATCAAGTATGATTACATAACACTATTCTCAGGTTAAAAAGGTTTGGATTACAGGTTAAAACACAATCAATGCAGCAGCCGCAATCACACAGAACTATCATGCTCAGTTCCCTGCAGTGTGGGTGATTCAACTGGTCACAACTGATTGAATTTTATATCAATGTGATTATTTATATATTAGTCAATACAGTCAGAATACATTGATAAATGTCACATATTTTTATTGCTGAAATTTTGCATTGCATTTCTGAAAATTTTACTTGATTTTCATTACTAAGGATTGCAGTAGCAAACGTTTTTATTAACATTTTAATATAGACCATTGATTTGTTAAAATAAAAAAAGTATTTAAAAATTCCAGATCACATTATTCTTAGAACATTATAAGTGTAAATACTTTGAATTATATTTTTTGTTGTGGTACACATCCGTATACACAGATGAACGGCTTAAACAGGGGTATGAAGGATATGGAGATGAAACACAATGAGATTATGAACAGTATTCAATATCAAAGTCCATAAAACAATACAAAATAGGAGCATAAACAGGGACCTCCAAAACATCAGAGTTGGGATCAGCTGCTACGCAGGGGTGTATATCCCCTGCCGACCGGTCACACCCGCCGTGAGCCCCTTGTCTCATGTGTATCGAATCAACTGAGATATATAAACTCATTATGCAGGTGATGAAGGTGTAGTTCTGCATAAGTAAGGGAAGTTGACGATAGTAAAGTTGAATTCATCACATTTTTCATAGATCTTGGTTGTTAGATTACCATAAACGTATTTTTCAAGTAAAATATCCAAGTATGAAACAGATGTGTCAGACTGTGGCATCTTTTATCTTAAGCTCACCAGGATATGCCGTATCGACATAGGAATGGAAATTACCGTTGTTGATTGACAATACGCAGTCGATATATCTAAATGTCGAGATGAAGGCCACAGCAATTGTTTCCTTCTTTTCATGCAAGTTAAGTTTTTGAACGAATCCTGTTTCATATGAATAAAAAAAATAGGTCAGCTAATAATGGAGCGGAATTGGTACCCATGGAAATTCAAATATGCTGTTGGAAGACCTGGTCTCAAAAAAAAACACACAGATATTTTCAATCAGAAACTCAAGCATCATTTTGATGTCAACTTCAGAGTACTTATTAATTTTGCAAATAACCAATGAACAGGTAAGTAAATTTATGAGTTCCATTTTTATTGAAAAAGCAGTTGTCAATGATTTAAAAAAAAACATGGACTTTAATTTATCTCTGGGGAATACTTGCATAAAAAGTTGAAAAGTTTTTAAGCTGTTGCTCTTATGATGTTTTTACAAAGAAAATTATTGGCATGTGTAAATATCTCGAAAAAAAATTGCGACATATTTTTAACCTTACTCAGCAAAAACTTATGAAACAAATGTGCAATTTATTTAATTTCATTATACCGATTTGTCTTTTGTACAATTTCTTATTTGTATGATATAATTTCTTATTTGTATGCGATATTTCTTTTTATTTGTACTGTTTCCAATGGATTGTTTTTTATATTTCGGTATGAAATGAGTTTTGATTAGTATGATCATGTTGAAATCAAGCCATGTTTCGTTATTGTACCAGGGATCATACTGAAAGCCGCTCAACTGTCAAAGTACATTTGCTGCGTCATGAATACATTTAACTTTAATTCATTTCAAAAACGTGGGCAATAAACAAAAACGGGTTTTTAAAAACCACCCGGAGATGAGTATATTCATTCCACGAATTGAAATTATGAAATAAGTTCCTCATTGATTTACAAATAAGTGTATTCTTTACAATGATATTACATATACTTAGCCCGACAAAAGGTAAGAAGCACAGTCTTTTTAATCCATAAAAGAAAGTAATTCATTTCGTTTGTTTCTCTCTTGCTTAAGATCTAATTAGTTTAACAAAAATCTTGATTAATGAAACGTTGCCTGTTCCAAAAGTCTTTGATAGAGCAGTAGATAGACTTTTAACTAAAAATAAAAATAGGAAAGATAAACAATAAGCTAGTACAAAAATTATCGAAAGTAGCCATACTTTTCATTTGCAAGATGTTTAAAAGATCTTATCGCAGAATATACAAATAAATGCTAGTATTATGACAAAAATATAAAATTAAGATTCATTTTTCTAATGATTCATAAAATATCATTTTATTATTATTTTATCATTAATATTCATTTTTGGAAAGCTCTTTGTTGTAAAGTAGAGTTTATTTGCAAATAACTGAATGATTAATAATATAATATAACTATATGTAAATTACTTAATTTTTTGTAGGATTTTGAAAGTAATGAAATTAAGTAAAACACCCGTAAATCTTAAAAAGAAAAATACAGAGAACAAATTCAATATATCTAGAAACTGATTGACTTACGTTTCAAAGATGAACTCTCGTAAAAGAACAAAAGGACAAAAAGAGCCTTCCCATAAAAAAAAACCGCGCTATGAACATGATTTAAGGGAAATAAATTCCAAAAAAGACGAGAACAGCTCGGGGCAAAATCATGTACCTGAACTTGAAGAGATTCTGGGAGGGCATACCAGCATACAGTTGGAAGATACACGAATTTCAAAAATAAACAGAAGCACCCTATCAAATAGCCCAATCTGGTCAAGCAGAGGCAATACGGGCGTTTCCGATGGATTAAATGGTTCCTACACACCATATCATCCAAAAACCTTTAAAAGTAGTACTCACAATACACTAGGCGATCTCAGGGACAAATTAAAGTCTAAAAGAAACAATGCAAACACTTCAGGGGACGTAGGCGTGGTAAAAAATAATTCAGAAGAACAACGATTAAATAGTTCTAGTAGATCAGATGGAACTAGACAAAAGAATGGTTATGATGATTTTTCTTGTAAAGTAACTGATGACAATTTCAGAAGCAAATTGGATGATCACCTTGTAGACAGATCGGTTATTTCTTCAGGCGGAATAAATTATGCGTATACCAGACAAGAGTGCAATCAGAGAAAAGGTGCAGAAAGTTCGATTGCTTATAATAACAATAATAAACATATGTCGAATCTACCAAAAGAGAAAATGGTTGTCTCAGAAAACAAGGCAGGTACACTCAGTGCCAAGTCAAGAACAGATGATAAGAAAGATTTACAGGTATCAAGCAATTCCAGAAAAATATCAGAAACCAGTCGTAGACCTAGTCTTGATGATCAGTTTCACCACAGAAAGGTGTTAATCCATAGCAGAGATAGTCCAAGTGACATTCTTAATGCCTTAATAGACTTTAAAATATTGCCCACAAGTAAAATGATCAGAAATGAAGAGGCTCCACCACTACCGAAAAGACAGTTACGCGTCGCATATAAGTCCCAAGAAGACTACCTTGCTGAACAATTCTATCTGTTTGTTGAGGACTTTCTTGGTCCACTGAGGCAAGGAATAAAGGAATTCATGGCAAATACATCAAATTCTTTAGAAAATGGAAACGAAAAATTTAGACCCAAAAGTATAAGAATTTATGAAGGAGTACATATTCTAGAACGAAAGTGTGTCCTTGATTCTGGAATAGTTGTTGAAATTAAGTTTGATACAAAAAAACACAAGTTGGTTAAATGGGATTTCTGTAGCTTTTTGAAATATGGAAATATCGTTTGCTTAACATACGACAATTGTGACACACTTCTTTATGCATTAATCGCAGAGCGAAAAACTAAGAACTTGAAAGAGGGGAAAATTTCCCTGAATATAATTGGTAAAAAATTTTCCGCTTTTGAAGAAATGAAGGCAGCTGCAAACGGAAGGATTGTTATGCTGGAAAGCACATCCTTCTATACTGCCTACCGACATACAATTACGTCAATGAAATCAATGGCCGAAAGAATGCTCCGCCGTGAAAGAGAAGTTATTCCGTTCTCAAAATATATTGTCGATCTCAAAACCCGTATCGCTGAACCTCGTTACAGCATATTAAGTAATGGTGATTTCGATTGTTTAGTGCGAGATAAGGCAATGAAACATAATTATAGCAGAGTACCACTCCTCAAAACAAAACATTGGCCAAAAGCAGAAGAATTAGGCATGGACGGAGACCAACACAGGGCGCTTAGACTCTGTCTCACCAAAGAGCTTGGAATTTTACAAGGACCCCCAGGAACAGGCAAAACATGGATGGGACTAAAGATCGTAGAGTTTATGATAAATAACAGACTTGGATGCAGTGAACGAGGAAGGAACCCCATATTGTTGCTTAGTTATACTAATCACGCGCTCGATCAATTTTTCAATGCTTTATTTGATATTGAAAGTCTTCAAAAACTATTACATCGATCAGAACCACCATTTGTTCGCATTGGTTCGCAGAGTAATATCGAAAGAATTAAAGCGGTCAGTCTAACAGAGATCAGGAAAAAACAAAGGCATAGCAATTCAAAAGCACACCGAAAAAACATTTTCGATTTAAAACAGAAGTTGCATGAGAACGAACTGTGGAAAGAGAAGACCAAGAGCAGTGTCATTTCTCCAGATCATTTGTATTCCAAGGGATGCATTTCAAAAGAACATATAGATTCGCTCAAGCAGCAAGGCGCCGATTACAAAAAAATTATTTTCGAATGGCTTGAATTAAAAAATCCAACCTTTAGTGATTCAGTCTTAACAACGAACTTCACGGTTAATCAAAATAATCAAATAACACTTGATGCAGACGATGAAGAAGACTTCAAATCACAATTGGTTGAAAGAATTGTGGATTATGCTGATGATCTGCACTTTGACGAAAAGAAATTTCTTCGGGGAGTGTTATCAAATCTAGTTGTGTCTGAGGAGCTTCTGGTTCCTAAAAAGGAATCATTCTTGCATCCTTTTTGGAAAGCACTCAGCTTAAAGAACAGAGAGAAAATACTAAAATATGTCTCCATGAGATTCCGTCTTTATGGCGAAATGATGGAGAAGGAAGTAAATAAAGTTAAAAATGTTTGGGAACTTTCTATCGATGATAGGTGGAGGCTCTACAAGTTCTGGAGAGGGAAATTTCAAGAACTGCTTCGTCAAGAAGAAATCACACTAATGCAAGAATTTGAAGAGAAAAACAAAATATACCTAAAAGAGAAAAAAATTGATGATATTAAAATCGTCTCTAACTGTTTTCTTGTCGGCATGACAACAACAGGAGCTGGGATGAATATCCTACAAGAAGTGCTTCCCAGAATTGTCATTGTGGAAGAAGCGGCTCAGGTCATGGAACAACATATTTTAGGTTGTCTGACGAAAAACGTAGAACATCTTATACTCATAGGTGATCACCAACAACTCAGACCAGCCGTTCACAATTATGAATTGTCAAAAACTCACAAAACTGACGTTTCCTTGATGGAGAGACTAGTGTTAAATAGAATGCCATACGAATGTCTTTCACAGCAACATAGAATGCGTCCAGAAATATCTGCAATGCTTACTCCCACTATATACAAAACACTGCGAAATCATCCAAGTGTATTAGACTATGAACGTATTCGAGGGATAAAGAACGATATTTTCTTTTTTTGCCATACAAATCGAGAGAGCCAGTCAGAGAACTCAACAAGTCATAAAAATGCATTTGAGGCAGAGATGATTGCAAGATTGTGTCTATACTTGTTCTTACAAGGATATAGCAAGAAGGGCATAACCATTTTATCTACTTATAAAGATCAGGTCAAAGTGATCAGGCACTGTATAAAGTCAGCAGAAGACAAAATATCCCATAAAATATATGACAACAAAGGGAAAATTTCAGTTACCACAGTCGATAACTTTCAAGGTGAGGAGAATGAAATCATTTTACTTTCACTGGTAAGAAGTAATGAAGAAATGAAAATCGGTCATTTGAAAGACACAAAACGAATATGCGTTGCACTTTCCAGGGCTAAAAATTGTTTGTTCGTCTTTGGAAACTTTCAAAGCATTCAGAAAAATGAGACCTGGAAAAAAATAGTTTTTAAAGCGAAAGATGATGGAAATTATGGAAACAGCATCTTGCTAAAGTGTGTCAATCATCCAAATAAAACGACAGAGGTATCTAAACCAGAGGATTTTGACATGATCCCATTTGGAGGATGTGGCAAACCATGTGGTTACCGGCGAGAGTGTGGTCATATATGCGACTTGACATGCCATGCTATTGCTGCCTACCATGAAAGACCTTGTGAAGTGTTGGTGAGAAAAGTACACCCAAGATGTAAACACGAACTACGACTTAGATGTTCCACAAGGTTACGGACACCTCTCGGATATATAAGTTGTCGCGTGTGTGAAAAAGATTCTGGCCTTCCGTCCTCGTCTGAGGCCCAACCTGATCAGGATCGGGATCCGATGTCGTCACCATGGTGACATGATCTAGAAACTATATAAGTAAGTAAAGTATTACTTTTTTTTCACCCTTCAAAATAGGGACTTCCAATTATGTGCTAAATGAATCATTTTAGGAAGAAACATGACACATATGTCGCTTATGACAACCATGCTTCAATTACTGGTAAATGCTAAAGGAAGGGTATTAATAAAGATTATTATTATCACTGGATGACGTAAGGAATAGGAAAAATAAGAAAATGTATTATCTTCTTGAAATCGGAAAGATGCATGGATATACCTCATAGAAAGACCGATAAACAAATCACAAGGTCATTTAAAACAAGAAGAGGTCTGCAATAGATAAAAACAGGAGAAAACCTGTACAAAAATATCCTATTTTTATCGTCGAATATTTAGAATATGTACACAGGACCACAGAAATGGTTTAATAGTGGGGGAGGCAACTTCCATCAAAAAATACTAATCTTAGCAAAAAAAGTGCCCTCCGCGTTCTTCGAACCTGAACACGATGATGGATGATGTAATATGAGCCTTATATTTCGGGGGATTTTCAAGATGCAGAGAACAAAATAAGGCCAACATTTAAACACTGATCATGACAAGGCGCACACGGTTGGTGTGACCGGTCGGCAGCGGTTGATTGCTTCTCCGTGTCACTTGATCCTACCTAAGATTAATTTAAATGTCAGCTCCAAAGAGTTTGTATAGTTTGAGCTTGAATACTGTTCGTTATCTCCACATTTCGTGCACCAGTTCAAATAGGAAATTCAGAATCTCTAAAAATAGCAGCACAAAATGTATCTTGGTCAAATCAGAGATTTGGGGGTATATAGTTCTTGCCCTGTCTGTCTGTTTGTTTGTCCGCAAAAACTCTTACCCTACCCACATCTTTTGATTGGTTATAGCTATAACTTTCAAACTTCACGTGTTAATTTTTTGTGACAAGACCATTTTGGGTACCAACATATTTTACCTCTTGGCCTTGGAATCTGAAACACTTTTGCAAAAAATTACCCGACTTTAACCTTGGCCAAAACTTTTGAGCAGTTAGTTCTATGGCTTGTTTTTTGCACGTGTAATCATCATGGCAAGTCCTTTGCAGGAGTTAACTATATTTGACCTTGACCTTAGGGTTTGATTTATAAAAAAAAATCTAACCTTTGCCATGTCTTTTATTACTAAATTTTCAATTTCCACACGAAAATAAACTTTTAACCTTCGCCAAATATTTGAACAGTTGGTGCTAAGGCTTTTATATGTTGCATGTGTATTTCTTATGACAAGGTATTCCCTTGCGTACCATTAATTTCGACCCATTGACGTTGGAGTTTGGCCCACTTTTTTAGAAAATATTAAAATGACCATATCTTTTGAATATTTGATGCTTGGGCTTTCATATTTACCAGATATATCCATTGACACAAGTCCTCTCTTTGAGTAAAAACAATTTTGATCTCCTGACCTCGAAATTTTACTTTTATTTGAGAAACTTCAACCTTCCCCATAAGCTGCCATATTGGTCATCAGTGTTTCACAAACGCATCTTGTTTCAATCTTATAAATTAACCCAATTTTTTAAACGTTTATTTCATAAATATTGATTATACTATTTGTAGGGAAAGTAGTCCAGAAGAAATGACACTAAATGGAGTATGAATGTTGTCGTGTTTGATAACATAAGGTATGACATATTTACTGGAGCATACACAACTTCCCAGTGGTGGATTTGATCAAACTTCCAATGGAGGATATGATCAAATACGGTGAAGAAATATCCAGCAAGACTAGAAGAGGCAAAGTGGTCACTACGTCATGACTTTTGTTGTAGTTTTTGTCTCTTTTCAATCTGATACTTTTTTTTTTATTATAAACTTGTTGGAGATGTTAATGAGCAGGCTTATATCCTATTATTTTGCAAATTATCATATTCGCTCACTCCAAAAGCAATTAAATTCGTGGGAGTAAATTTTGTTGTTTTAAAGAAAAGCATTATATTTTTAAAATTATTTTTAGGGAAAATGTTTTATCAAATATATTTGACATGTTTAACCTCAACAAATTATTCTGCTTTTCCAATAAAATTAAAGTATATTATTTAAATTACTTGCCATACATATTAAATGTTTCAATTTCACAGTTTTATTTCATTGTTATCAATCGCTAGAAATGCAATTTCTAAATGCAAGTAATTAAAACTTTATATCCTTTCACTTTTTTGTACTCTTTTTTTGATTGTATCTATCTGTATAGTTTTATCATAGAAAATCTTTGATTTTCACACCAATATTGAGTTACGCTTTATAATTTAAAAGCATACATAATCATTATACCCCCTGCTTGAAAAGTGGGAGGGTATACTGTAATTGCTATGTCCGTCCGTCTGTCTGTTACGCTTTGGGGTACCTATCTCTTACCCGCAACTCCTCTTATAGCACTGCGTGAAATTTAATGAAACTTTCAAAGAATCTTTATTACATATTGCCATTGTGCACCTCCTATTTTACTCTTTGATCCGACACATATTTTGGGTTTCCCGGCCACAGCAAAACATAGACCTTTCCATTATAATCATATGGGAGGGGGGATGTATCATTTAGTAAGCTCATTGCTCACAGTACCTCTCGTATTTGTTTTGTATTATAAAATTAATTGATTCAAGATATGTTCCAACCAGTATATTTACACTTCCATGTATTTTTTCTTAAGATTCTTTGCAAATCAGAAGACTGTTTACTTTCTCATGAACTAGCAAATCAGAAGACTGTTTACTTTCTAATGAACTACCATAGATGAGCATGAATATCTCCGTTGTTACACCATCAGAAAATTTTGTAAATATAAGAAATGTATTTAAGGGGGCCAACTATAGTTTCCATTGCGCAATATTTCGCGCATCATAGTAAAACGAAGAGTATTTACTGTTTTAATGCAACTTTTTTCGCTTAATTATTAAAATTAAACAAAATTAAGAAATAATAGGTATAAAAATGTAATTAGAATTTGATATAACTGATTTTTTAACCGATTTTGCAATTGATAGGCAGGTTGACGTCGTTGCAGTGTGTTTTTGACGTTATGATAATCTGTAGCTCTTAAAGAAAGGGGTAATAAAAATATTATTAAAGAAAAAGTAATACACATACGCTCTTGAAATTCAAAACATAGAATTTTGAGAATATCTCCGATATTTTTACTATGTTTTCATGTGAATCCATTTTGCACGTCATATTTTGTAATACTTTATAAAAATAGTAAAATTTGCTAATTTTTTGCATTTTGAGATGTCCCCTCTGGTAACAAGACGGTAGAATTTTGTGTTTCTTACATATATTGTATAATAAAGTATATCTCATAAAACATTATAGTTTAAACAAAATGTCTATTGTAGTATTTGTATAATTTGCTTTAAAGTGCTAAAAATGGGCATTTTCCTATATAATCCTATAGTAAATATACTGTATTTTGAGACGGTCCCTCAAAAATACCTGAACGGAGATTTACTAAAAACTTAGCATGTACACTGATGTCAATGTCAGTTATATATGGTATAAAAATGAAGAGTTTCGTTATTGTAGTTTTCACACAATAAAACTATAGTCGGCCCCCTTAATTTTTGAAAACTCATGAGGTAAATGAACAAAAACGCTTCAAGTCGGCACATTGATCATAAAGCGCAAACGTGCTTCATGAACCGTCATAGTTCATGTCCTTATGAATCTTCAAAAATCAAATTCATTTCTTAAATGTATGATAAACTTGTAAAAAAGATAATAAAAAAGTCTTTCCTGTCCATAAGCTAATGTCAACACTTGATTCTTGTTTCAATCATTGTATATTAACTTTTGCCTGTAGAAAACAAATCAGAATACATTGCAGCACTTTATTAATTTTTATCAGTTATAAATCTTTTATAACTTGTGTCATTATCATCATTTTATTTATCATAAGCATCATTGTATAACGTCTGAATACATCACAATATTTTTGGATTAAGCATTTTTGCATCACAGATTAACAGAATGTCAAGTATACAATCAACAACCACAATCACACAGAATCAGTAAGAGCTACACAGAATCAGTCAGAGCTACACAGAATCAGTCAGAGCTATCGTGCTTGGTTCCTTGGAGAGTGAACGTTTAAACTGGTCACAACTGAACAACAGTCCTTATGCTGCAATATAGAGAAAAATAACATTTGAAAAATTGAACTAAGATTTATCAATGCAATTATTTGGTTAAGAGCTCAGTTATTTGCTTAAGTGGGTATATGACTGTAAATTAAGGCAAAAAAAAATTAATTTCTTGGTTCTCAGGCCCTCCCTCATCTCTTCCAAGGGTGCCTCATTGACCCTTTTTATTGCTAAATCAATTAAATATAAACACCAAATCACCTCCCTCATCATTTTTTGAGGTTTTGTACAATGTAAAAAAGCTGCCTCATCATGTTTCTGGGGCAATAAAAAAGGAAAAAAAATGCCTCCCTCCCTCATCATATTTCTTGAAAAAAGGCCTGAGACCAAGTAATTAACTTTGCATGGCCTAAAGTGAATATTTTATTTTAAATTATCACACTTTCATATTACTGGCTTTTTCAAAAACGATAAATTTAAAATAGTTGGTACTTAAATTCAATTTGTATTAACACCAAAGAATTATGACTGTGATGATGAAATGTAAAATTACTGGTTATTCAAGATATGTCTCTTCAGTTTATTCTAATCAATATTCATCTACATATATTTCATTTGTATGTTAGAAAAATACAATATACAGTAATTTTTTTTATTATCTTAGTTACTTTTTTTTAATGTTTAAAAGCAGAAAAGCTTACCTCTTGCCAGCATGCATTAAATCAAATGCTTCGTTAATCTTGTCCAGGCTGAAATTGTGTGACACAAATTCATCCACCATTACCTTCTTGTTCATATAACCCTCCACCAGCATAGGAACACTGTCTCTGCTCTTCCAGCCTATCAATAGGAGGCCAACTTTTTTCAATACCATCTTCTTTCAGTATCAAATTTTCTACATACCCTTATATCAATTTACCCTAGCAAAACGGGGGGGGGGGGGGGGGGGGGGGATACCAGACTTCAATGAACATTTTCAATAGTAAATGTTATGTTTGGTAAAAAGAGGAGGGGGAGCTCCCCCTTGTTCCTACATGCCTGTAATTAAATTATGGCTCAGTATACTCCAACATGTTAAAGAGGAAAAAAAGGAAAACAATGGATGTGATTAAACATATCTGAAGTTTGATGCAAGTCCTTTACCTCCAAAAGCTGTTCCCTTCCAGACTCGGCCAGTGACCAGCTGGAACGGGCGGGTGGAGATTTCCTGGCCGGCAGCTGCCACCCCGATAATCGTAGACACGCCCCAGCCTTTGTGACAGGACTCCAGGGCCGCTCTCTGTAACACACAGATCAATCAATAGAGAGCAAAGTTACTATAAAGATATAAATCATAGACACACCCCAGCCTCTGTGACAGGACTCCAGGGCCGCTCTCTGTAACAGATAAACAAATCAACAAAAAGGAAAAAAACTTGACCATAAAGTTATCTTAACCCTTTGTGTGCTGACTTGTTTTACGCGCGCTGTAACCTCAGGACTGAGTTGTTTTGTAATATCAACAAAATTATCACAATGGTGTACTAAAATGCAAATATCTAAAATTGTTGACAACCAATTTGCTTGAAATTTGGCAAATATATAGCAAATGTTGTGTTTTTTAATCTATACTATTTTTTTTTTAAATCTAATATTTTATGTTGCCATGGAAACCAAATTTTCAAAAAATTTATTTTAAAATGACTTTTTAGCATTTTAACAATATTTTTCAGAGAAAATATTGCACTTTGATGAAAAAAAATAAATCAATCGCTTTAAAAATTCAATTTTAGTTTAATATTATGCAAAAAAAAATTTAATTTAAACAATAACTCAATGATAAAGTCAATGTTATATATACCGTTATGTTGTGAAAAGTCATTGTACTGTATACTTATCCGAGTAAGGGATATATTCATGTAGGTTTAAGTGAATTCTGATTCAAGTTGATGGATTTTTTTCAGATTTTAACTAAAAAGAGTATAAATTGAAGATTCAATTAGCCTGCAAATATAAAACCAGTGATTATTTTAAGAAATATCGGCAATCACATAAGAAAGTATGATCCTCAAAGAATATGCAGTTTTCGAGGTTGGGAAATCTTGGAGCAAATTGGCACAACAATGAACTAATTGCTGTTACTAGTATTCATTTTCAAATTGAAGCAGTCAATATGTTAAATAAATTTAAAAAAAATAAAATAACATTTACACTAAGTTATAGAGGTCTTATTTTCTAATGACTGGTATCTAACAGCCCTAAATATACTCTAGTAATTCTCAAATCTTTTTTTTTATTTTGTTTTTATTGAAGAAAATGCATATCTCCGTGTTATTTGTAAAGTTTACATATTCATCAACTTTCCTCCCACAGTACTTCTCACTCTGTAAGAAATGTGGCATTTATTTTAGAAGTTTTATTCCTAGCTGGCAACAATAAATGCCAACAGGAAAACTAGAATTTTAAATTTTAGAAATTTAAGCACCTTTAACAGTCATTTATAATGTTTTCAAAAATGACTTCGTTCAATGTGGTCACTGGTGAATAACAGTTTTGATTTTTTTCAATTGATTTTAGTTAATGATGGTTGACAGATATGTACCATAATATCAATCAATATATTATGAAATACTTTTAAGTTTATGCAAGTCTAATGGTATGGGTCATGGATATAGGCCAAGTAAGCTCAGTCAGTAGAGCATCTGACCGGTGATGCAGGGGCCCCTTCTTAGATTCACGGTCCAGCCATGCATTTTCTCCTTCCTTGTTACATATTTGATGCTATTGTCCCCTCTGGATTTGCAAGTGAAAGTCCTGTCAGGGGCTAATAAGAATTTGGGTTGTGTCTTCAAGGATAAAGATAACTTTAAGGAGGGATATGTAATGGTTGTGCTATGGGTATCAACCTGGGTTGCTCATTCGGTAGAGCACCTGACTAGTGAAGCAGGGTTCCTGAGTTCTGTTTTATTTTTGCCCCTTTCACCCTCTCCTTGATTGGGCGAATTCAAATTACACCTCATAATTTCCTAAACAGAACTATGACTGGGTGAATTTAAAACAGGGCAAAATTGTTCACAAGTTCAAAAGGGCGAAAATAACACGGGGCGAAAATAACCCTGTATACAGTAATGAAATTTATATTTTATTTCCCCTATGGGATTTCTTTGTATTCTTAGTAACTATTCATATTTTCATATTTAAAAATAAACATATCTTTGGAGACCAAAATGTAATCTTTGATGATAAGTAATTGTACAGGAATTTGCATTTTTGAAAAAAAAAAATTTTGACCATCATTAAAAAAAAATTCTCACAGCAAATCTTAGTCTTTTTTCTGTATTCATTTACTGTTACAAATCTAGAAGGGATGGAATGTAAAAGCTTCTTGGGCCTTATAAATTTGTAAACTAGAGGACATATTCCATATTAATAGGTGAAAACTTGTACAGTGTGTACTTTTGAGTTTGAGAAGTACAATTCCTACAGTAAAACTCAGTTATAACGAAGTCACTGGGACCTATGAAATTACTTCACTATATCTGTAATTCGTTATAACTGTATAAGAAATCAATTAAATTTATTTAGCTTGGTATCCAAACTGACTTCGCTATATCTGTAAATTCGCAATATTCGTGTTCGTTGCTGTATTACCCTGTCTTATTGTAATCTATTGAACAGATGTACATGCAAGTCCATACGATTTACAAATTACTCATTCTAAAGACTCTGATCTCCTTCTTATGCCTACAAAAATGACAATTCATCTTAATTTTAAACTGTAGAGATACCTTTTATTTAACCAGTGAATTTTATAATTTTGTGTGTGCATGTAAAGGTTGGGGCAGTCTCACTGTTTTTGGTTTGTAATAAAATAAAAATAAAAAGTGGAGGAAATGTGCAATTTAATCCACATGCTTTATTCTGGCAAAAGTCTAGTATTTTAAAGAAAAAGAAAATTTCTCCCTGATACATGTTCTTAAACTTTTTAAAAAAAAATTCTGATACATGTAGTACCAATTATTTTCACTTACTAATTAGGTCCCATGCAAACTAGAGTATGTAAATGCCTTGAAGAAATCTAACTCTAAGATACCAAAAATCCCGGAACATATTTTCGTTTTGAAATTATTGAGTCTATATAATCCTCATCAAGGAAATAAAAATGGTATTTTATTACTTACTGAAATAAAACAAATACCACAGTTTACACAAATGACAGTCATTTCAGGGAAAATCAGCACTTCAAAATTTTTTAAACACTTTATACCATTTTCATGTATTATGCACATGATCAAATGCATCAATGCATCTTTTCTGATACTAGCTTACATTTGAAGACACTATATAGAAAAAATCAAGTTTATTTTTTAATTTTTAATTGTGCTAAAAATTTTACAATTTATCATATACTGTTATAAAAAAATATTTGAAAGTTTTCCCAAATAGATGGAACATCAAGCAGCTTTAAACCAGAATTTTTAGGTTAATTCGGGCCACTTAATTGACTCAATGATTGTCAATTATAAAATTCATATTGTGTATATTTCGAATACGTGTATCATGAATTAATTTTGCTTGATCACAAAAATATGTTGATGGATATTTATTCTCTATATATCTCTTTTTCACTCACTTATTAATGCAATAACTCATTGGAAAATTTTCTACAATGTTCAAGGTCCTCCACATTTATTACTTTTATTAGATGGAGCCTTTTTTATCTTTCAACATTTTTGAAATGCCCGTCTTTAGATTTAAAAAAAATTGTTTACTTATTTATTTGTTTATTTATTGTTAAAAAAATGCTTTTAATTAACAAGATGCTTCAAATTATTTTTTGTTAACCTTTATTTCAAAGCAGATGTAAACAACGTGCACAGAAAAACGTCTGTGACTTGCCAGGTTCAATCTCGCGCATTATTGTTTTCATTTAGACGATGTAATGTATGCCTACTTACAAAACGCCAAATAAACAAATAATAACCACATTATGTCCAAAATATAAAACTTTGCCGACCATATAAGCTCTCGATATGCTTCAGTCTGAAGTTCAGTAGCATGTGCATCCTACTTTCGTTTTAACAGGAAGAACTTCGCAAGGTTAAGGTCAAGTCAAGTTAACCAGAGTTTTTCTGCTAAAATATCGAAAATTTCTAAGTAATTTTAAGTCTACTAACACAAATTTATTAGAATTATTGATATTTAACTATTTTTTGGATTTATTTCTTTATTTTCCTTTATATTCGAGCAAGTTAGTAGATATTTATTACATGCGCGTTTTTTCCCTGTTTCCAAAAATAGCGGACTAACTTTCATCGTAACAAACGCCAAACACCTTCACTTTAAATCACAATTTCACAAACAATTCGCATATTTTCACATCTTAATTACCTATTTTTCAATGTGTTGTAGTTGAATAATACATTTTGATAGATTCTGAATAATTCACAGCTCATTTATACGTTTTATACGACGTTTTATTAGACGAAGCGCTAATTTCAGACTCAGACCCAACATATTGGGTTCCCGCACGCAAGCGTTTGTGACGTCAGACCCAATATATTGGGTTCCCGCACACAAAGGGTTAAAGACTTTTGTCACCCTTATAATGTTATGCTTATATTGATACATTAATGAGACACCTCTTCTTCTGACACTTACCATGCACGCCACATTTCCGATACACTCGAACGTAAAGTCCAGCCCCCCATCTGTCATGCCTACCAGCACCTCCTGGATAGGTTTGTCATAATCCTTAGGATTTACCCCCTCTGTAAGTCCAAACTTCTTACCTGAAATCGGTGTATAACACAGAGTTTAATATAAATTTATAATGGCATAATTAAAAAAAAAGACGGCCAAAAACTTGAGTTCATGTCCCTTGTACTGTATGTGGATTTCAATTTTGCTTATTTTCTACCTACTCTTGTAATGTAACTCCTGGTATTTAAAATCGTGATCATATTAAGTTTGTATTCAAAAGATAGTGATTATTAAAAATATAAATAAAACCCTTTTTCTTAAAATTAAAACTTAATACCAGTTATTTTTCCCTTGTATTCTATTTACATTTTTTCCCTCTACTGAATAGAATCAGACATACTGACATACCCACCTAATTCAAACTTATCTGGGTTGATGTCAATGCCTATAACTCTAGAAGCACCAGCTTCCCTACAACCCATAGCAACAGCAAGTCCTACTGCTCCAAGTCCCCAAATAGCACAGGTGGATCCAGGTTCTACCTGTATAAATCAAACTAAATTAAAATGGTGGATCTAGGTTCTACCAGTATAAACATACTAAAATAAATAGGTGGATCTAAGCTTTACCTATATCAATCAAAACTAAAATATAACAGGTGGATCTAAATTGTGAATATTGTGTATATTGAACGAAGAATTTAGGAACCTTTAAGACCTCTCAAAGGATTTTTTTTAAAAAAAACTTCACCATAAATTAAATCATAGATAATACTGTATACAGGAAAATATTCCCCCCCGTTTTATTTTCGCCCCTTTTGCCCTTACATCGTTTGGGCGAATTTAAAAAGGGGCGAATTCAAAATATACAATATATTTTTTTAAACAAAACAGTGACTGGGCGAATTTAAAACGGGGCTAAATTGGTTGCAAGTGTGAAAGGGCGAAAATAACCCTGTATACAATAAATATTGAAGACAAAGTCAATTCCTTAATGATTCAGTAATATGTTGACATTCAGTAACTTGATAGATAATAAATGAAATGGGGTTGCGATGGTCCCCCCCCCAGACCCGCCTTATGTCTTCTGCTTTTGATCACATATTTTTGTCTTCAATATCATTATCAATACAAAACAAGAAGAATCTAATGACTACAAATTATGATTTTTTTCCCAATTACAAACAGTAACTTGAAATGTTCTATTTAAGGCAAGTTTTGAAAAATTGAAGATGAAGCAATCTTCCCCAACCTTTGCAGTGTTAAGAGCTGCTCCGTATCCAGTAGATATACCACAACCCAGAAGACACACCTTGTCCAGTGGAGCAGACGGATTAATCTGTCAATGAAAACAATCAGACAACCAATAACAATCAGTCTGAATCAGTCAGCCCATATCGGTCAGGCTTATACAATGTTTCAAATCAATCAGGTGTAAAGATAAAGAATTGTTACCTTGGTAACTGATATCTCGGCAACAACAGTATACTGACTGAAGGTACTACATCCCATAAAATGGAAGAGAGTCTTTCCCTTGCATTTAAAGCGAGAGGTTCCGTCCGGCATCACGCCTTTACCCTGGGTGGCCCTATAAATATCAAAATCTAACTTTGTAGTTCTCTAAGGAATTTGAGCAATACCAACCATACTATAACAGTATTCTCTTGATATGAGTAAAAATATTTATACAAACAACTGTTCAATTTAGAAAACAGAAATATTTTCAGGATTACAGACAAGTTCAACTTAAATTAAGCTGAAAGAGTTCTGTAATTTAGCATCTCTTTGTATCTTTACCTGATTTTTCCACACAGATTGGTCTTTGGTGACTTGCAGAACTTGCAATCTCTACACTGAGGAATGTATAGAGGAACCACATGATCACCTATAGAGTACACAAATTTTAAACAAGTCAAAAATTACAAAACTCACAAAGGGCTCAAAGTATTCCTATATGTAATATTTGTAGAATCTTTTTGGCCTTAAATTGAATTCTGCAAGAGTAAAAAAAATCTACAGGAAGGATCTTTTTAACTTTGTAGTGGTTATTGCATCACAGTGGTAATTTATTCAGTCTTAATCTATGATCAAGTCACAGTTTAATCAAAGAGTGTACTTTTTTACTCAAACCCCCCCTCTCTCTTTCTCTTAATGACCTGGTTCTACTGAGGTGACCCCTGGTTGTATTGAGGTGACCCCCTTCTCCCTAACTTTCTGACCTGGTTTAATAAAGTGACCTACTGACCTAGTTGTTTTGAAGTGACCATTTCTCCCACACTTACTGATTTAGTTGTACTGAGTGAGGTGACCCCATTTCCTACACTTCCTGACCTGTTTGTGCTAAGGTGACCTAGTGACCTGGTTGTATTGAGGTGATCTACTGACCTAGTTGCACTGGGGTGACACCTTTTCTTACACTTCAGGATTGGTTTGTATGCAGGTGACCTCCTGACCTGGTTGTACTGAGGTGACCTACTGACCTGTTTGTACTAAAGTGACCTCCTGATCTGGTTGTACTGAGATAACCTACTAAACTGGTTTCACTGAGATGACACCTATTCATACACTCACTGATCGGGTTGTACTGAGGTTACCTACTGACCTGGTTGTACTGAAGTGACCTACTGACCTGGTTGTACTGAAGTGACCCCTTCTCCCACACTCTCCACAACTCCACCTCCTTCGTGTCCCAAGATAATAGGGAAAGCCCCCTCAGGGTCGAATCCATCCAGTAAATAGGCATCTGTATGACACACTCCAGTGTGTAGAATCTAGGGCAGATAACATCTCTTCATGTCTTACTAATTCAGATCAAGAATATATCAACTTCTCTTTCCATCTCTTTCAAACTTCTATTCAAACCGCTTTTATGTATAATTTTTTTTCTGATTTCTTGCAAAATGTAACTGGGAATTTCCTGATAGTGTTTAAAAATTATCATAAACTTAGATAATTCAAACAAAATAAATATGTGTAAGAAATGAAAAATGCTGAAATTCGCCATAAATGCGAGAACTCATATAAAGTGAGTCTACTGTATAGAACCTAAATGACCTTTGTGAACTCTGTTACCTTTATTCGGACTTCTCCAGCCCTGGGTGGCTCCACCTCCACCGTTTCTATGACGAGGGGCTTCTTGGCTTCCCAAGCCACTGCAGCCTGACATGTTATTACCTGTAAAACAGTGAAGTGTTACAATTACCTCTCCATGTCTTCATAATAAAGCAGCCACTGTTATCGATACCAATTAAATTTCAAGTGTTTGATGCAAAAGTTAAAACAATTATTTTGTTACCCCTTTATAAAGAACAAGTAAGGCTATGCAAAATTAATTCCTTGGTTCTCAGGCCTTTTTTCAAGAAATATGATGAGGGAGGGAGGCATTTTTTTTTTTTTACTTTTTATTGCCCCCAAAATATGATGAGGCAGCTTTTTACATTGTACAAAACCTCAATAAATGATGAGGGAGGTTATTTTTTTTTTAATTTTTTTTATTTTATTGATTTAGCAATAAAAAGGGTCAATGAGGCACCCACAAAAGAAATTAATTTTTTATGGCCTAATACACAGTATACGTGCACTATAATTTAACATTGCAGATGAAAAAATTAGATGTGTTACAACATACAGAGAGTCTAAGCTATTTGCAATGTAGTAGGAAAGGAGCAATGCATAAAAAAATATATGGCTGGACCGGGAATCTAATTTGGGACCCCTGTATTACCAGTCAGGTGCTCTACTGCTGAGCTACCCAGGTCAATATCCACAGTCAGTGAAGCCTGAACTGCTACAACAATAACTGTACTATTTTGCTAAGTTGATAGATTGTGACAGTGCTGTATTTGCTATGTGGCGGTCAGCTGGGTTCGATCGCCAGTGGCCAGATAGCTGAGTTGGTAGAGCACCTGACCAGAGTTTCAGGGGGCCCGGGTTCGAATCCCGGTCTGGTCTGCTGCATTTTCTCCTCCCTCGTTACATTTGGTGCCGTGCAATGCCCTGGAACTGACAGGTGAGAGACCTGTCAGGGGTTAGCCTGGGTTGGGGTCTTTGAGGAATCAAAGACCTTTAAGGGGGCTAGGGGGTCAACAAATTATTTTTTTATTAACCACCAGATATAACATAAATTTTGGGATATGATATCTCAAGCTGTCAACTATCATTTGGCAAAGAAAAATTTCATAAATTTTAGTTTTAAAATTTGCTATCCAAACAATAGAGATGCATTTTTTGGTTAAAAAGTGTTTAAAAGAGGCAATGTTTTTACTATCTAGCCCTAGGTTGTTTTTATCAAACCTTTTAGAAAAAATATTAGCCATAATTTACATGCGACTTTTTGTCTGCTTTTCATAAAACAGAAACTTATTCCAAAATAGCTATTAAATAAAGCTATATAGGTAGATTTAGCTATATAATATATAGCTAAATATAGTGATTTTCCTGGAGCTGCTGCTATTTTTTTTTTGGCAGAATATTCTCTGACTGCATGTTATAAACAGGCATGTTATAAACATGCGTCCGGTCTCTCATCTTTAATTTTTATATCAAGCAGCTTTCATTAGTCTAATGATCAAAAGACCACCGACAAGCAGACATTAAACAGTACGCCAACCCACTTGTGACGAATCCACTCAGCGCGAACAATAGAGGCGAAACCACTCAGAGCGAACAAGGTATGGGAGCGAAACCACCCGCATTCGTCACCTCGCTCGCGAAGATCACTGGTTATTGTTTTCATCGCTTTATGGATAAAACTGACGACTCCTATGACTTCTATAAAGAGAATAGGTGGTTACAGGAATAATCACGCACGCTAGAGGTACGATTCTGCACGATCGGTTTGTCAACAATATCGTTGCAGCAATTAACTGTATGTATGTGAAGTACAATGGCTAAATAAATAAGCATTTTATTGCTAAAATAAAAAGTACAAAATCATCTGCTGACATTGACTGCTTTCCTAAATTGCAAATAATCTATGTACTTCCACCCACCTTGCCGGTTGTGTCCGCCATCTTTTAGATAGTGTCGTGTGCAAAATTGAACCCGAGCAAAATTGTGTCATCTGTCGATCAGATATAATTTAAATTGATGATTAATTTCCCCCCTCTCTCTTTGTCAGACTTGATACACGGTACCTGATTTGACCAATATCTAAGAGAAGTAAATGGAACATTACAAGACACGTTGAATTGCTAAATAACATTAATTATTATATGTTATTTTCTTATCTTTCCAAGTTAAGAATAAGTGCACATAAGTTGTACGTAGAAACAGGTAGATACCGTAATCCTGTCATTCCTAGAGAAAATAGATTTTGTTTCCAATGTGAAACTATTGTTGAAGATGAAAAACACTTTTTACTTGATTGTCCTGTGTATAAAAATGTCAGAAAAAAGTATTCAAGGGTACTAGATGTTAATAACTTATCTTGTTTGCTTAATCCACATAAAACAAATCTGTCTATATATCAGAGACTGTTTTGATATTAGAAACAAGCTTACAATAGTATAATATTTTGCAATACATGTATATGGCTAACAACACATTTCTGTATATAAATATGTGCTTTAGTGCCAATAAAGAATTTAATTGAATATGTGGCAAGGTGCCACGGCAAATCAAGTGCCGTCAAAGATATTATATGCCCGTCTGTCTGTCCGTTTAATATTACCTGTTTTGGATTTTTCTTTACTGCGAAAAAGCAAGCGCTGATCCAGGAATTTTTTTTCTATGGGGTCCACCCCAATAAAAAAAAAACAATCTAAAAAATTAAATTAAAAAAAAACCCCGTAAACTCGTCCAAACGCCCCCCCCCATCTTGTATAGAAAAACGAGGAAAACGAAAATATGCGTTCTATTGAAAAATACCCCACTTAATTATTTTTTTTGAAAGCCTTTCAAGTTTGATTGATACATTACTTCTGGGAGGTAGGATGGGGCCCTAAAACGATCCCGTAGATCAATTTTTACAAAGAAATACATAGAGAAAATTCTTTTGAAAATATTCTAATCCTATGATTAATCCAAGAAATATAGAATATCCTCAGTTAGAATCAAGGTTGTTCAAATCCCTACCCAACCGGGACAGGGAGTAATATTTTGAAACTTTTCAATTATGAACTAATATCTGCTTTTTCCAGCCAAAGTGCTCAGGTGAGCAACATGGCTCATAGGCCTATTGTTTAGTGTTAATTTATGCATTCTCACTAAAAGACAATACCGTCAATACAATAGGCATTATCACATGTAGGCAGTGATAGTCAATAGTTGACAGTAATCGCCCACCACTGACAGTTAGCAGCTGACAGCGTTAAATGAAGTTCGACAGGTACCATCGTTTTTAGCTCACCTGAGCCGAAGGCTCAAGTGAGCTTTTCTGATCACATTTTGTCCGGCGTCCGTCTGTCCGTCTGTCTGTCTGTCTGTCCGTAAATATTTTATATTTGTCTTGGAATTTTCAACCAAACTTGCCACAAAGCATCCTTGGGTAAAGGGGAAGCAAGGGCCACGCGATAATTATGAATTAGAGAAAAATTAATGGCATTTTTAAAAAATCTTCTTCTCAAGAACCACTGGGCCAGGAAAGATGGAACTCATGTGGAATCATCCTCAGGTAGTGTAGATTCAAGTTTGTTCAAAAAAAAAAACAGTTTTACGTAGGAATATATAAAAAATTAAAAATTTAAAAAACCCGAAACTCATATGGAATCATCCTCAGGTAGTGTCGATTCAAGTTTGTTCCCCCCCCCCGGGGCTATCAAGTTTTTGAATATATAGGAAAAATCTTTAAAAATCTTCTTCTCAAAAATAAGCGTTTTATTGAAAAATACCCCACTTTATTATTTTTTTCTATTGAAAATTTTCAAGTTTATTGAATATATAGGAAAAATCTTTAAAAACTTTCAAGAACCACTGGGCCAGGAAAGATGAAACTCATGTGGAATCATCCTCAGGTAGTGTAGATCAATTTTTACAAAGAAATACAGTTTTACATAGGAATATATAGGAAAAATCTTTAAAATTCTTTTTTCAAGAAAATCAGGAAAGATGAAACTCATGTGGAATCATCCTATGATTAATCCAAGTTTGTTCAAAATATAGGGTGGGGCCAATATCCTCAAGTTTTAGTATATATATTTAGGAAAAATCTTTAAAAATCTTCTTCTCAAGAACCACTGGGCCCAACCATGGGATCCTCAGGTAGTGTAATAGTTTTTGAAACTTTTCAATTATGAATATATAGGAAAAATCTTTAAAAATCTTTTTTCAAGAACCACTGGGCCAAAGTGCTCAGGTAGTGTGATTCAAGTTTGCAACATGGCTCATAGGCCAAGTTTTTGTATATATTGAAAAATCTTTAAAAATCTTTTTCTCACTGGGCCAGGAAAGACAAACTCATGTCAATACAATAGGCATTATCACATGTAGGCAGTGATAGTCAATAGTTGACAGTAATCGAAACCTTTTAAAATCACCACTGATTACGATATTAATATGGAATCATCTTAGTAGCTGACAGTTTGTTAAATGAAGTCCCCCCCCCCCCCCCCCCAGTAAACTTTCAGTTCTGATCTGATATGTGCTTTTTCCTAGCCAATATGCTCAGGTTTTTCGCTCACCTCAACGAAGTTTGGGGAGCTTATGTGAAACGGTCGGCATTGGAGTCCCAGGGTTTGGTGCTACTTTCTTTAGTACGTCTATGCCTACATTAATCAGAGATGCGCGAAGGATACTTCTAGTATGTTTCGTCGTACCAGTCAGGGTTCAGATGCTGCATTTTCAGCCAAGGAATGACCAGGTTAATGCTTTTAGAGTAGATTAAGAATTTTTGCAGGTTACAGTTATTGGGACAGATCCCATTCTCAAGTAGCTTTAAGTCCTATGTTGACCAAACTTGCATGGATACACGATACATCTACCGGCTTGCTTCGGATGCTGAATCTGACCTACATTTCCAGATGAGTGACCAGGTTTAATTTTTGGGAGCAGATTCATTCTAAAGAACCTATGCGCCTTACATTGACGAAACTTGCAAAGATGATACATCGAAGGATGCACACTCTAGGCTTGCTTCGGATACTGGATCTGTCCTACATTTTCCAGATGAATAACCAGGTTAAAGAAATTTATACCAAGAAACTATAAGACCTATCATTTTAAAGTACTTTTTGATATATAATTACTATTTTGACCAAACTTTCATGGGTGATAATCTAAGAATGCACACTACCAGACTTGCTTCATATGCTGGATTTGACCTACATATTTACAGATGAGTTACCAGGTTCAAGTTTTACAAAGAAACTATAAAGCCTGATGTTTAAGCCCCACGTCCCCGTCGTAGGAGGTGGAAACGGGTAATGCCAGCTAACGGGGCTACGCCTGCAGCATGGGGCCAGTCACCCCTTCTGTGGTAAACACTGACTACAGAAACAGAAAAACAGAGAAACGTATCACCTGGTTCTTCAGTGGGTAACATCAGAAACGAAAGCATGACGTCTAGTCAGGAAAATTATCAGAGAACTAGTAGACTGAGAAGCTTCCTTCTGAGACCAAACAAGAACATCAACATAGCAGCATGGAATGTGCAGACTACGTTTGAAATTAGCAGAGCAGCACAGATTGCCAAAGAGATGAGGCAATATTGATTGATTGTTTATTGTTTAACGTCCCTCTCGAGAATTTTTCAATCATATGGAGACGCCACCACTTGCCGACGGAGAGCTGCAAATTTTGTCCTATACTCGGCACTTAGGGCCATTGAGCAGGGGAATCTTTTTCGTGCCAGCACCTACTGCGACACGGGACCTCGATTTATACGGTCTCATCCGAAGGACCGGTCTCCAACTTTGAAACTGAGAGTGTTTGTAAATCGTTGCCTACGGACCATATTTAAGATCAGATGGCCAAAAATAGTGTCTAACAATGAACTCAGGGAGATTTCAGGACAGGAAGACATTGTGGTAGAGATTGTAAGAAGAAAGTGGAGATCGGACATGTGCTCAGAAAAGAACCAGCATAATATCACAAGAGAGAACATTTTCTGGACAGCCGACGGCAAGAGAAAAAGGGACAGGCCAAAAACAACATGGCGAAGAACATCAGAGAAAGAGCTGAACGATATAGGGCTGATGTGGAAGGAAGTAGAAAGAAAAGCAAAGGATAGGACTGGTAGGAGGGACTGTGTGGCTGCCTTATGTGCCACCTGGCACGAAGAGGCCTAACTAACTAACTAACTAACTATAAGGCCTATCTGAACCAAACTTGCAATGATGATGCATCAAGCAATGAACACTGTCAAACTCTCCTTAGGTTGATCAAACTTGCAAGGGTGATACATCTAAGGATGCACAATATTGGACTTGCTTCGGATGCTGGATCTAACCTACATTTTCCAGATGAGTGACCAGGGTAATGCTTTTGGATCAGGTCCATTACCGAGAAATTATTAGGCCTATCTGAACCATACTTGCAAGGATGATGCATCACAGAATGAACACTCTCATATTTGCTTTGCTGGATTTAAATAATCTTGTCTGGATGAGTGACTAGTTTAAAGTTTTTAGTTTTGTCCTTTCCCAAATAGCTTCATGCCTTGTCAGACCAAAAAATGAATATATTGCATCTAGGGATGCACATGATTAGATTATTGTTTAGTGTGAAACTTTGTCTTTGTGAAAGACAACATTCGTTGAGGTGAGTTCTGTAATCTCTGATTACCTATGTTTTCCCCAGCCGCTTTCTTTCACTGCTATTGTCAGTCGATCTCTCTTGGGTGCCACTGTAAACTGTTACTGAAAAGTGATAATTATAGAGGAACGCTGAAATAAAGCGGTTTCAGTAGCAACGCGTATAATAATAAGTCTTCGTTGTATATGAACTCCTATTATATTAACACTTCCATAACATAATTGTGTTATTGTTCACACTTTGACGTCTTTGTATTTAGACTCGATGGAGTTGGTTTTGTAAAAAAAAATGTTGTTTTAATTAAATTTTAAATGATGATCGAGGTATATTAATCAGGATTAACGACAGACCTGTAGCGTAACGGTTTTATACTCCATAACTAATATATGAAACAATAACT